AGGAGTAAAGATCGCTATGTGCTGTGACTAAACGAATTTTTTCTTGAAATCCCATGTAGAAATCTTTCAAACCTCACCTTTCAGCTATCGATTTCATTTCCTCAACGAATTCCCAAAGTTATTACAAAATTAACCTGAATCAAGTTCCTTGAGCTCCTGAACAAGAAATTTTTTTGCGAGTTTCTGAATAAGCTATCAGGTATGTAACGTTAACGAGATATTCTCACTGCGAGTTCGTACAGATGAACCGAACGTAATCTGAATGAGAAATTCTTATTGTGAGTTCTTCAAGTCATCCCGAGGGTATCACAAACGAAAAATTCTTGGTGCAAGTTCCTAAAGATATCCCGAACGTTTATAATAAGTGTTAGCAAAATATCAATACATACGACATGATTCTAAAATCTCAAAAAAGACTCCCACCATCATTACAGACACAGGGCGATCTGAATTCTGAATCTTGAACCACCCTGTATGTTTTTCCAATTATACCATAAACCTTATACCCCTTGGCTGAAGCCTAGGGATATAATCATGGTACCTGATGGGTAATAATTATATTCTTTACTAACTAGGTGTACAAATAACTATTCTCAATCTTATCCACTGCCACTAGGTACAGATCATCCTAATCACTTCTTAGTTTCAGATAATCAAATTTTCAGATCAAGCAGCAGTGGCGATATTATTCTCATCTTATGTCTTTTAGCATCTATTTTTGTTGGTCTTCATAATAATTCTGATATTTTGGTGATGATTACGAGATTACGTGTCCAGAGAAAGATCGAAAGGTCGAAGACAAACACTATTAAAAACCGATAAAGTTCAAGTATTTTTAAGTTGTGTATACATCTATTAGTTTTATTTCATTCGTTCATCTACTTAAAATGGAATATCTTGAAATTTTAACCATTTCCTAGTGTTATCAGAATTTTTTTGTGATACTGTTAGGGTTCAATGAACAGTTGAATGAGGGATTCATTCATATTATATAGGATATGTAAACTTATCCATATACAGGAACAAATTCGTGGCGAAACATATTGAAATACAGAGTAGGTCAAATTAGGGCAAAGATGCAGCTTTTCATTACCAACAAAACTCTGCTTGGATATTCGAAACAGAAAAGGAAATTTTGCAAGATTGTTATTATTTATTCCTCAGTTTATTTAAAGAGATTTTTCAAAATGAATGTCACTTCATCATTGCCACTTTTCCACCTCTACAAAATGGAATTGTTATAAACTGGAAATTCGACGTTTTTTCTTCGAGCAGCCATCATCAACATTATTTTTTTGAAAACGAACCTGTGTTTTTTATTTCCTTATTCGATAGTTTATAACTCCTTGATAAGATGATATACTAAAATAGTTCATAAAATATCCACTTCTGTGAAAAAATATTTTTAATAGGTATGGAGCTACTCATCTTTGTCTAACACAGCTAGCGTTTTGGTATTAATTTGTCTTTGTCTAATACATTATTCAGTGCGAAGTATAGTGGACGCGCTTATGTTCAAAAAAGGGCTGTCGTGGGCTTGGAATGATTAAGCAAACGCCATATCTCAAATGTCAGTATTCATTATATAGAAAGTCTCATCACTTCTTGGCCACCTCAGAAACGCATTATTCACCCCCTGCAACCCTTTGAAGCGTGAAATATTCAAATGACCATATATCTCGATTACTATTTGAGCCAATGACTTCTTTCAATTTTGGGTATAAATAACTCTCATCATCGCCATATATACCATAAATACTTTCAATATTTAGCGAGATATTTTGCAAAAACCGATAGGACAAGTGCAGCCCTTTCACACATTATTCAATATACTCAAAACAAGCAGTCATATTAGGAAAAATATTCACGAGTTCGGACATATTACCTCTTCTTCAAGCTTCATTTTCATGTAGCATGATTTGAATAATACTTAGTAGTTAGTATCAAATACACACCTGTTGGTTCTAGTGACACACAGAACTAATATTCATTTTATTTTTCGAAAAATTTTTCTCTAGCAAAACATATTTTCTGAGTCACGGCTATATTCCATCTCAAATTTCTCCTTCGTCACTAGAATCGCAGTTATCTAAATTTATAGTGTGTCGTTCTGAATTTTCACAACGCTCTTCTTCAGCTTCGCACTCACACATTTTTGTTCATTGTACAGTACTGAAAAAAGTACCAGTTGTCCTACCTCATCACTTTGCCATCCATAGTCCGTAGGCTTTCACGGTAATTGCATGGTAATTGCAACATTTTCGGAAAATCCACTACTTCAAGTCGCTTGAAGAGCGATGTCTGATATCATGGTCAAATCAGTGTCTCTATCCCCGAGAGGAATCAGTGCCTTCAGACTTTCGTCATCAGCTTCCTCAAATATATTCCAAAATGATAGTTTACCTGCAGAATTCTGTAATCAAATTTATAAACTAATCAAAGAGACATTTAACTAATCTTTCATCTTCTTTCAAAAATCCGCCAGTAGAGTGATTCTCTCCAGGAATATTCTCAGATATATTATAAACATGAGAGAAATATGAACATATTTAAAAGAATACATTGAGTATTCGGATAATTCACCTATCTGATAAAAATATGAATACGAATCGTCGAGTAGAGAAATCAATCTCACCACGTTGAATCACATCAGAAGTTGCTATATGGAAAATTATTTTCAGTTTTTCTATATTTTTAATAATAACGTAGAAAAAAATATGATTTTTCCAAACATTCATTTTCTTTATATACCTGAAGTACTAAAAACAAATTTGAACATTTGCTTTTTCTTATTTTTTGTGTATTTAGATCTATGCTTTTTCAGACCTATAATCTTTGATTCGTGATTGGGTTTTCTCAATCCAGAATTTTCCACGCCCTGTATGACAACATTAACATAAAAAATGTTGAAAACGGAAGCAGATTCATTGCCGAAACGTCCGAAGCTAAGTGAAAATTTGTAATTTTTTTTATATACTTACCTACTACATGTATATTTAAATAATATTCATATTTATATTTTATTGAAAAGAGAAGATAAAATCCCAAAAAATCTGGAATAATCAATGTACCACCTCCTCGATTAACCTATACAGACAGTATTCAAAATCTTCTGGAGTTGATGATCTGCATTCTCCTTCTGATAAAAATATACATGCGCATAATATTATTTTGAATATTCAACAGATAAAAACTGCTTTCTTTACTATTTGAATTGAACATCCAAAAAAAGAACATGAAAATGAAAATTCTCTGAAATTGAGAAGAATTAACATTCTCTTTCAAATCGGATGAATAGTATGATGTACCTATTATATATCAAAGACTGGAACCTTTGGCACGATAATACACTACACAGTGTTTTACCACTAACCAAACCGATTTTTTAACGCCTCGCCACGTGTTTCGCTAACTATGTTTTAGCATCTTCAGGAGAAGATTAAAACAGTTTTAATCTTCTTCTGAAGATGCTAACATAGTTAGCGAAACACGTGTCGAGGCGTTATAAAATCGGTTTGGTTAGTGGTAAAACAGTGTACTGTATACTGTATTATGATATAAAAATATAACTTTCCAATATGTTCAGTATTGAAATCGAAATTGGAATGTATAGAAGGAGTATACTTGCATAAACTCCTGTCATGAAGTGCTTGAAATTTCCAAAAATCATTGGTATCAGTGATATGGGAATATCATCTCTCACAAACAGGTTATATAACTTCATTCGAATGAACTCGTTTCGGATATCAAACCCTCCTCAATAACCTGAAGTTGCCTGAAGTCTGGTTATTTTTTCAGCCATTCCTCAGCCAAATACACAATTTTCATCTCTCTATAATATAAAACTGTAACGAACTGACATCTGAGGATTATTTGTTGACATTCAACTCCTGTCATCTGAACATTTTGTTTGGATGTATGACAAATTGATATTCATTATTCAGGGCGTGGAAAGAAAATTCTGAATTGAGAAAACAGAATCGCGAATCTGCTATTGGAGGTCTATAAAAATAATGAGTTTCCATCGTTCAAGTTTGAACCCCAATTCAGAATTTTCTTTCCACGCCCTGTATGAATAATATCATCATCGTCATAATTTTTATTACTCCATAAGGTATTATACAATTGATTGGATTCGTCAAAAAAACACATACATAGATGAATAGAGCGTATACATATAAATAGAGCAGAAGTTGAGGACATAACATAACTGATTTATACAAGTCATAAAAACGTCATAAATATCATGAATATCAAATCATATCAATATTTGTCAAGTAATCCACGAATTCATATTACGAATAGAAGCACCGATTCAGTAGAATTTGTTTTAAATTTCTTTTGAATTCGACATTTCTCAACTGCTTGAGATCAGTAGGAAGGCATTATAAAGATCACTACCAGCATATATTGGTGATTTTTTATAGTTAGAGCTGGTTAGAGTAATGCGGTTTCTTGAGTCTTATAATAGAATTGTTCCTTGTATTGTAGTTATGGAGGTCTGATCGAATGTTTGTTGAGTGTATTTTTGTTAATGTGAATTTATGAAAGTATTTTATATAAGTAGATGAAGGGAACGGTGAGGATACCTTGTTGTTTGAATGTGTTTCTACAATATCATGTCATACATCCCAACAGATTATCTCACATTTCAAGTGATCCTGTTAACGATGATAGGTACAAAGAACACCAAAATAATTCACTCTAAATCGGGTCCAGTCTTCGTATCGCCGCGAACATCTGGACCTCCACAGCATCCCATCTTGCGCTTGGTAAGCATCTCCGAGCGGTTATTTCACATCTCGCAGTGCACTGTGCTAGTGTGCAGTCATAGTTGAGTTCGAGTTCATAGTGTTCGTGTGATTGAAGAGACGAACTCATGAATAGGGCCGTTTAGAAGGCACATTTTCGCTTGCACTGCTTCTTCTGGCTTTATTCTTCTCGAAAATCAGAGGAATGTGTGCTTGAACTTCGGAAAAGTGTGTGATTTGTGTAAGAGCATGGGGAATTTTTGGCTGTTCGGTGTTTTGTTATTATTTTCGGTTTGTTATGGACAGCAGACGCCCACCGTAGGCCATAAAGGAACGAGGTGTTATGATAATTTCAACAGACCGCAGGTAAATCTTCATTTCACCTTCTTCCTCACAGTTGTGTTGTACACTTACAGCTTACAGGGTCATTATCAGGTATATTTCTATTGATTTTCGTGACTTTGACTCCTGAGTTAACTCCATAGTCACACAACCAGCGAGCAAGTAAGACAAATGCGATAAGGTATCTTTGATTCGGTCTTTCAACTGAGTCAGAAATATACAAGGTGGCTCATTATAATATGTTAGTGACAAGAGATGATTTCATTTCTACACCCAGTTATTCATCAAATTGATTCTTCGAATATTCCCGTCGAAAAAAGGTGAACTGAACCTTCTGAGAATATTCTAGATCGAGTTCTAGATATAGAACATCCTCAGAGTGATCTAGGAATATTCTTAGTATATAGGGTATCTTAATGCCAATGGAAAATATGTTGGGGATCCATATAGGAGGAAAATATGTTCGTAACTCTATATTCCAAAACTGACCATTAGGGTGATGTTTATTTCACACAATTTGAAAAAAATATCAGCCAAAAACTGTTACAGTTCGAACATGACACAAAAACCATATACGCATCATGGGTGCTCCAAGAATATCACGATGTGTGAAAGCATTTTTAGTTTTAGCCCCCCTAATGTGCGTGAAAGGAAAGTAATTAGAGAAAATAGCGGTGAATTTGAATTCACATTAATAAACCCTATTGCTACCGTAGATAAGCATGACAAGTTTCATCAGAATCAGCGAAAAGGATTTGGAATAATCAATGAAAATTCGATTTTTTTTGAAAAATTTGACTCCCTCTATCTCAGAAACATATGTTCATTGGAAACAAAGTTTTTTCTTGTTCTCAGACTATCTAAATGATATTATCTATGAAAATATATGGAAACCTCGATGAAATACTTAGAATATTCGAAGACATTCTATGATCATTCCTATATAACATTCATAGAATATCATTGAATTTTCCATGAACGTTCCTAGGACATTCAGATGAAATATGTACTCGTAAAACATTCTATGAACATTCAGAACCTAAAATGATCATATTCGATGAATATCTTTTGGAATATTTTGAAGGGTATGTTGTGAGAACATTCTGTGCTGTCTGAAATTCTATGTTTGGACATCTCTATATACAGGGTGTCCCCTAATTAGCAATACTTCACGAGGAGATTTTACGATAAAACCTCGGATAAAACATAAAGAAAATAACTCGGAAAATAAGTTTCCTCAAACATATAGATTTTTAAGCGAACTACAGTTTCCTGAATGTGATACCCTGAAGAGGGTTATTAATATCTTATATCTTCGAAACTGTTGATAGCAAAATTATCAAATTGCACACGTCGGCCAATCTCTTTATGTCTAACAATATGTAATAATAATAATTTGAAAATCATATCCAGAAATGGGTCAAACTGTGTGGGGTGGGGAGAAAAATCACCCAAACTTTTTCAAGTGCGGTTTTTTCGCAACTTTATAGCAAAAAATTATGAAACTTTCAACTCATTTGCATGAAGAGGTTTCCTTTTTTAACTTCGATAGTAAACACCGTTCTCGAGTAAAATCAATTGAAAAATTACCTTACATGTCATGAAAATTCATAACATTTGACGAGTGGAGGAGCCCTTCGGTTTGGAAATCGTCGTCGACCATTACATAAGCCGTACACCTCGCACGTCTCCCAGCTTTTGTCAAACGTTTCATTTTAACAAAAGAGTACCCAATGAAATTTTATAATTATCTTAAACACAACTTTTAAACCTTCTGTTGTTCATTTCATGAATCTATCATCAACCTAAAAATCGGATTATCCCGATTTCCTGCGAAACTTCACTTCCTATATACCGGGTGTCCCAGTATACCTGTTCCAATGAATTTTCTCAGCCATTTCTAAAGATAAAAATTCGAAAATTTCATGATCTTCAATTCGTCCAAGGAAGCTCCAACTGACAAAAACAAGAATTGAAAGTCACTTCCAGTTCACCAGTAGTGACTCTAACTTCTTTATTTCGAATAGCACCCTGTATTTCTTTTGCAATCTTTGATTTCTACTCACATTTACCGTTCCAGCGATGTACCACACTTCGTATTTTGAATTTGATTCGATGGGGAGAACGACGATTGAAATTTCAAATTGAACGAATTTCAGTAGGCTACGATATTTTTGTGATCTTGATTTTGACTTCAATAATAATTTCAAGTCATCAGAATTGTAGTAGATCATGTAATTTCAAAATTTTCATCTTTCGAAATGGCTGAGATAATCTATTGGAACAGGTAATCTGGGACACCCGGTATATAAAAAAAATGAATATAGCGAAGTTGTAGGTAACAAGAAGATCAATAACGTTTGTCCCTTCACTTTTTTCACATAACCTCAAAATTTATGTGAAAAATTCAAATAACCAAGTTTTTATTTTTTTTATCATTCACAAAACGAAATATTTTTTTACGGAATGTGGTGAAAACTCACCTATTTATGTGTCGAATGCACTGTAATTTTTGTGATTCAAAATATTCATTTTGTCACCTTATTTTCATTCCACTAGGGCAAATGCAAAGAAATGAAACTCGAATCCGATTTTTTTATCATTATGTACAATTTTGAGCTATTCATGAAAATCAACACTGATTACTCAGAAAACGTGAGATTCCATGTTACATTGATGAACAAAAAATTTCAAATCCATAAAACATCAAGATTGCAGAGAAAATACTCGAGAAAATAGTTGTTGTTCTGACTATTGAAGATATAGGATTTGAACGGGATTTCATCTAAAATATGTGCTTTTTCGATATCAAGTCAAAATAAGGTGAAAAAATGAATATTGCGAATCAGAAGAATTACAGTGTATTTGGGACATGAAGAGGTAAGTTTCCACGGAATTTTGTGAATATTTTTTTTGTGAATGATAAAAATCAAAAATCAAAAACTTGGTTAATTGAGTATTTCCGAGTATTTCACATGAATCATGGGGTTACAGGAAAAAAGTTTTGAGACAAAAGTTATTGATATTTTCATTACCTACAAGTTTGCCATCCAACTTTTTTCCTTAGGACTTGTAGTTTTGCCGGAAATCGAGTTAATCCGTTTCTTGTCCTTCCACTTCCCGACGTCAGATCGCCCGTAATTTATTTTTCCTTTCATCTTTGTTATATTCTCGTCCTTTTGCAATATGTTTCATTCTACTTTTTACCATTTTCAGAGGCTTCAGCACTGGTCTATCATGAATTTTCATAACGTAATGAAACTTTCAAATCGATTTCACTAGAGTGTGGTTCGAATATCTCATTTTTTTGCCCTTTAAAGAGCGTATATAGAATAAGATGTCCGAGGCACTCTACTAGAGAACGGTGGTTCCTATCAAAGTCAAACAAAGTGCACTCTTCAATGTAAAATGCTGTAAAATTTCATAATTTCGGGCTAAAAAGGGTAAAAGCTGCTGGTGAAGTATTGCATGCCGTGTACACGGTTTTCAAAATTACGTTGCCACTATTGCTAACTTGGTTATTATTATTGCTACGAAGTCAGTTAAATAAACAAACTAGTAGTATTTTTCTGTCTGATTACCTAAGATCGCGTTCATCCAGTATCAATACAATATTCTCCTTGATATTCTCAATCGATAGGAACATTCGGGGAAATTCGATTCTGAACAAGAACTGTCTTATAGACTTTTATCCTAAACTAAAAGATCACTGAGCTATCGATGACTCCAGAATTACGTCATTACATTACATTATATTTTGTCAAATGAAACCCTCGGTGAAACTATCAGAATTAGTGTGATGAATTTCCTTGGAACCCGAGTTGGAACCCAAAAGAATTCCATGATATTGTTTGATGAACTTGTTATGGTATTCTGGATATGGGCAGGGCCATGCTCATCAAAGGTTACCCAATAGATAGTTTATTGTGTGCCCTCCGACAATAGTCAAAATCACATGTTCTAGAATGGTCAATTCTGCAAAAGACTAGTATCAAATCATGGATGCAAACCAAATCTCAAGAATGGTGGAACAACTCGCCAGGAATGAGACAGGCAAAAGAGTTTATTAAAAAACCATCGCCAACATTCACAGAATATCTACTAAGCCAGAAACGAAGTTCAACTAGAATACTAGTGGGACTTCTCACAGGGCATTGTAGGCTCAACTAACACATGAGTACGATAGGTCTGACTGAAGAACTGCTGTGCAGGTTCTGTCAAGAAGAGGAAGAAACAGCAGTACACATACTTTGCCACTGTGAGTGCTTGTCAAGACTAAGGTTCCTTACGGGTGAGGAAAAACCAGGAGCCCAGAGATACACAGGAGATCTGAAAGCTAGCCTATGGAGTCTCATAGTCAAGGCGGGGCTAGCCGAAGAACTCTAATCGATTTTGAGGACAGACACAATAGATCTGAAAAGGTCGCAGTGTGGAGGCATCAGATAGCTCGAAGGCCCCATTCCAAATCTAATCTAATGGTCAATTCCGGTCAATTCTGTCGGGCGCACTTTTGTTACACATCCTATTTTCCAACATATTGGAAATTCAATAAAGTCATGATGTGTTTAGTTACTGCACCTTTCTGTTATATGAATCACACCGCCAGACCGGGCAATAGAACAAATGAACAAATAAAACCTGCCTTGTCTGCTAGCTGATAACCAGAGATAACTGATGTCTCGAGGACAGTAATCAGTTAAATCCTCGGTTAAATCTTTGCATATAATCAGATGAATACCTGAATATGTGTTTATGCACTGTAAACTGCAGAACGTAATATCACCGAACATCAGGTGGTAATATTTAGCAAGTTAATAATTTACACTCACCGGCAAAAAATGTCCGGCAGCAAAAAATATTGCCAAATTGACCGCCCCGTATCTTTTTTAATTATTGTCCGATTCTGATGAAATTTCGACCAAATCGTAGATTTGTGTTACAAAATCTCAACCTGAATTTAAGTTCCCACAAAAAGCTGATAGCTTGATCATTATACAGGGAACAACGAATGTTGTTCACTTCTTTACGCCCTGTTAGCAAAAGTGTGTGATTCAAATTACCTCAATTATGATTTGAATTGAAGTGTGATCTCTCCTTAACACAATTGTTTCTGATTCACGTCGGTATCTTCTTTTTGAGAGAAGATATCTTTTTGAGAGAAGATACAAGTGTTTTAAGAAGGTATGAATTATTTTAATTTGCAAAACCTACACGAACTCATCGATTAACAACTCGAAAATATACATCTTTAACTTGATATGCCTTTTTTCCACCCTCTTTTTCAACACGTTGACTGTCACAAGGCACTAGGTATGTGCCTTGCCATATTGGCTATTTAGGGTTCAAGGCACACTATTTGTGCCTTATATCAGTCAACTCTCTAAAATTTCATGGTACATTGTGAGTGCCTTGAAGCGTATATATTAGCATGTGATCACAATCTTCGTGGCGCAGGGGACCCAAATTTTCAAAAACCCCAGGAAAAATATGAATATTTCAATTTTATTCAGCGTTTATTTTGGAAAATGGATTACCGAGCATATGCACAAAAGATACATAATATATTATTCTTCAAAAAATACATGAATATTTTACTTATGCAATAAGTGCTTATGAAAAATGATCAGGTTCTTCTGAAAAAATGCAAAAATAATGAAAAAAGAATACGAGAATTTTTTATTGGGCTGCCAAACTTTCATAAATGACCACTTTCTTTATAACAATGTCGTCTTGTGGTGTTGGAAAAAACATGTAACGCAGAAATTTCTTTCACAAGCAGTACATTGGTACATAGACCTAGGAGTTTAGCGCTGAGCTACGTTTGTTCCTTCTTCTTGTGCCTCTTTCTCGTAACAAACCACACACATTTGAAGGTACAGCATTCGTGCCTCACGGCCCGATACTACAAAATACATATGCTGGGGCCACAAGGCACATATATCGTGTCTTCAGAAAAAATTTGAATAAAATCAGGAATATATGTTTTTTTCACATGTCACATATTTCCTAAAGAAGTACAATAGTTTCAATCAGAATCCATCATAATAAAAAAATGGCCCAGGGGAGCCAAAACTTTTCATGTACCGCGGCAGTCAACGTGTTAAGTACTCATCAGCAAAGAGAAACCATAATTACTAAAAACAAATGAAAAGCAGACCTCAAAAAAGTAGTCAATAACGAGTATGTTCTCCTCGAGTTCGAATTACACTCAACCGCCATGGCACCGAGTTGATCAAATTTCTCAAGCAGTCTGTCGAATTCTCCTCGGAATTCTCCTTGAAGGACGAATCATAGCTTATGAAGAGTCTCTGACAAGGCCGGACAAAGGAGAATGAACCTCTGGAGTTAATCTCAAAGATGCTATAGGTTCTGAATGATTGTTGATAAAATGTTTTTCCAATGCCTGGAACTGTATTATTTTTTCATGATATGCCATCTTGAACAGTTCCAATAGAGAAACGTCGCTGCTAAATTTCTGCCAAATACGATGAATAATTTCTGAAATATCAGCCAATTAAGTTGAATGGCTATGTCACATAATACCGTGTATCTTCGTTATAGATACATTTTTAGAGTGCCTCCAATATCTCATTTTTCGCCCTTTGAAGAGCGTGAAATAAGATGTTCGAGGCACTCTCGATTTTACTAGAGAATGGTGCTCCTTCATGCAAAAGGCAAAAGTTTCATAATTTTGGGCTAAAGTTGCAAAAAAACCGCACATCAAAAAGTTGAGGTGATAATACCTTGTATCTTCGTTATAGATGGCCAAAGAGATTTTTTGGATATACAGGGGGCCCGGAAAGATCATGTCGTTAATAATAGTAGAACTGATAGAGTGAACCAATATATTGTTAGTCCTTCCCTCGGCCCTTCCTATAAAAAATGTCTATCTTGCTTCGTTACGGAGTTATTTACCTTGAAAATTGATCCAAGTCCAATACATAAGGTGCATATGTGTATACTCATCATTACTGAACTCATCCATGGTCCCACCGAAGTATCAAATACTGTCAAAATAATTGCATGCCAATTCTGACAATGACTGCCACTATACCATAATGTTATTGAATGAATACAGTTTTTATTACCTACCTTTGAAACGGTTGGGATGTATGTTCAAATGTTCTTAAAATGCGATTTTTTCCTAAAACGGTACAAGAAATCGATCACAATGAGATACTTATACTATTTTTGTAGAAGAAAGATGAAGGAATCGAACGGTGGAAGCAAAATGTCAAATTTGTCACCTCTGTCAAAAATGCCATCATTAAATGAAAAAAGTCGTCCCATCCTGTATAAAGCATAGTCACTGACATTGAACAGCCATTTACATATCGAGAGAAGCATTGGTATAAGTTAATTTAGTTGCCCAAATATCATTGATATCATGGCAACCGTTTAAAAGTTATACATGATATTTTTTTTATTTGAACTTTCAAAGTCAATTACTACGTAGCGAATTGCTTTAGACATTTTTATTTTATACTAGCTGACCCGGCAAACGCTGTTTTGCCATACAAATTATTTCTAGAAAAAAAAAATTTCCAGATGAAAATTGATCAATAAACTTTTGATATTTCATTTCTACTTCTTTTTAGTTTGGCTATCCATGAAATTCTTTACATAAAAATGTGTTTCATTAGTTTTTCAAACTACTATTTATTGCAATAGCTGATACTCGGCAAATGTTGTTTTGCTATATACATTTATTTCTAGGAAATATTTTTTTTAGTCAAGTATTCATCAACACACTTTTACTATTGTGTTTTCTACTTCTTTTCAGTTTGGCTATCCATAAAATCGTGTTTCATTAGTATTTCAGTTTCACTACTATTTTTATTCTCTACTTCTTTTTAGTTCGACAGTCTATATAGTTTTCTGAACTATAATATCAATTTTCTACTACTATTCAGTTTGGTCTCGAGTTTAGCTATCCATAAAAGCGTGTTCAATTATTGTTCTTCAAACTAATATTTATTACAAAGCTCTTTTGCTATATTGGATCCGCCATCTTGGATTTCCTAATTCTAAAGAATAAAATCATAATCTCCGACCCCGAAAACCCCCAGATACAAATTTCGAATAGAATCGGATCATAATCACGAAACTCGTCCGCCATATTGGATCCTCCATCTTAGATTTTCTAATTTTGATGAAAGAATCATAATCTTCGACCCCAAAATCCTCCAGATACAAATTTTGAATGGAATCGTATTATAGTTACAGAACTCGTCCGCCATATAAGTTCTTCCATCTTTGATTTTAAAATTTTGATGAAAGAATTATTATCTCCGACTCTGGAAACCCCCAGATACCAATTTTGAATAGAATCTGATCATTATTGAAAAACTCGAACGCCATATCAGGTCCGCCACATTGAATTCCCTAATTTTGACGAAGGAATCATAATCTTCGACCTCGAAAACCCCCAGTTACCAATTTCAATAGAATCTGACCATAATTACAAAAGTCGTCCACCATGTTGGATCCGCCATTTTGAATTTCTAAATTCTGACGAAAGAATTATAATCTCCGACCCCTAAAACCCCCAGTTACCAATTTTGAATTGAATCGGATCATAATTACAAAACTCGTCCGCCATATTGGATCCGTCATCTTGAATTCCCAAATTTTCACGGAAGAATCATAATCTCCGACCCCAATAACCTCCAGAAACATATTTTGAATGGAATCTGACTATAATTACGAAACTCGTCCGCCATATTGGATCCGCCATCTTGAATTTCCAAAATTTGACGGAAGAATCATAATCTCCGACCCCGGAAACCTCCAAATACCAATTTTGAATGAAATCGGATAACAATACTCGTCCGCCATATTGGATCCGCCATCCTGAATTTTCGATTAAAAAAATAGATAATGACCGATTCTCATACCTACCGAATACGCACAAAGAATTTCATACGAATCGGTCGAGCCGTTTCGGAGGAGTTGGACCACTTACATCGTGACCGGGACAGGAGAATTTTATAGTACTTACTAACATTATTTTGGCTCACTCGTCTTGATTTTCCCTATTCACCATTTGGCACCATGTGGATGATTTACTGTTTTTTATTCGACAACACTGGCAGCAGTTTTTTTTTCATGTGTTTTTCTTCTTCCAGAGATGCATCCCGGAATTCGAGAACGCAGCTTTCGGCGTCCTCATGGAGGCCACGAACACGTGCGGCGAGAACGGTGACACCGAGTACTGCGTCCAGACCGGCTTCACAGGCATCCGCAAGAGCTGCGAGGTAATTTTCATTGACTATTCCACCCTTGTTTTCAGAACCCATCAGAATCGACCATTTCAACGGTATCTCATATATTACACCTACAATAGGCGAGTGGACTAATTTTTTTTATTTCTTAAATAGAATCATCACTCAAATACCTTTCTATTTCATATTTTTTAAGGATTTTTCTCTCAATTGAGTATTGGTAATATTCCTAATTAGCAATGAAAATTCAATTGTATCAAAATGTTCCCTAATGATTTGTGGCTTATCACTTATAATAAATTTGTGTAAATGATGATGATTATATTAACTCATACTAGTTTCATTTGAATCGGTGACAACCCCACGTACGACACGTGGTCGTGGTCTTGTCAGTTCTCAGCATTCAGCACAATGTTGCCAAGTCTTCAACATTCACATAATATTTTGTGGAGAATGGAAAATATTTGGACATGCTGGTTGCTCGAAGAAGTCAAGAATGAACTATAAGGTCATGAGTTCCTCCTATTATGTTTCATTTAACGACAGGACTCAAACATCTTCTTGATAACTTGATTATAATTAGTGACTTGACAACCTTGATTCATGAGTGGAAATGGAAGATTATCTGACCAATAACGAAACAGCATGAAAACTCACATTTACCATTTATTCGATGTATCGCCAAATAATGGCCATGACGTAACGTTTGAAATATGCTCTGACATTGAACGATTTCGAACAACTCAAAGACTTATTATTTACACAAGAAAGCGTGAGAAGTGTTGCAAACGTTGATTTAGGTTCATAACGACACAGTGGAGTAATTGAATGCCAGTAATTCATTATCAGTCCACTCGTGTATTCCAGAATACCTAAAGCGTCTAGCTAGACCAGCGAATCTTTCAAACATCGAGGTCCAGTGACGTCACCTACAACACATGATATTTCTTCTTTCTTTTTATTGAGAAACTACGACTACTACGATTAAAGCGATAACTTAGTGGTATGTGTATCTGACTTCCACGGTGGTGACTGGGGTTCAATCCCTGCGAGGCTATTTGCCACGTCGAACATCGAACATTGAATTATATCGGTTGAACATCCAAACAGAGAGCATGAAAAATAAAAATCCTCTGAAATTGAGAATTATTGACATGTATTATGATATAAAAATATAACTTACCAATATGTTCAGTATTGAAATGAAAATTGAAATGTATATGAGAAGCATACTTGTATAAACTCTGATCTCAATGAGCTTGAAACTTCAAAAAAAAAAAAAAATCATTCGTATCAGTGATATGGGAATTATATCTCTCACAAACAGGTTATATGACTCCACTCGAATAAATTCATTTCGGATATCAAATTCTCATCAGTAACCTGAAGTCCAGTTATTCTTTCAGCCATTCTTCATGATATATACAATTTTTATCTCCCTATAATATAACTAATACAATAACGAACTGACATCTGAGAATTATAATTTGTTGACATTCTCCTGTCATCTGGGCTTTGTTTTTTGGATGTGTGATAAATTGATATTCATCATACAGGACGTGGAAAAAAATTCTGGATTGAGAAAAAACCTAATCACGAATCTGCGATTGAAGTCTATATAATAACATAGGTTTCCATCGTTCAAGTTTTAACCCCTTGATTGGGTGAGGTGAAAGTAGGTATTGAAAAGGAATATTCTCAGATATAATTATGAACATAAAGGAATGCTCTCTCTTTGGATGTTCAACAGATGTAATTCAATGTTTGACGTGGCAAATAGGCAGGAAAGTAGTTGTTTTCTGTTGAATATTCAGAATGATATTATGTGCATTGTGCACGAGAATGCAAATTCTCTATACTTCAGAAGATTTTGTTTTCGAATTCTTATCGTGTATGTTCAATAGATGAAACTCGATGTTCGCGTCGTGGCATATAGCCAGGAAAGTAGTTGTTTTCTGTTAAAGAAACCGAGAAAGAATTGAAATTTTCATCACATAGAGAATGCGAATTCTCCATGTATTTCTTTATATAAATGTATATATTAATTTTTTCATGTCCATAATTATATCTGAGAATATTCTTTTTCAATACTTTCACCCAATCTAGGGGTTCAAACTTGAACGATGAAGACTTGTTATTTTTTTAGACCTCAATCGCAGATTCGTGATTAGCTTTTTTCTCAATACATCAGAATTTCTTTCCACGTCCAAATAGCTCATGACATTGTTTCAAACCGTCTCGCTTAGAGCTGGAAAGTTTTGATAGAATAATGTCATTCGAGAAATTTTTAGGCAAAATGCAGTCGTAACAATCGCCGGATATTTCCGGCAAAGAACTATCACTACTTGTGATATTACATACATGAGATATAAACTGGTCAACGTTGATAACGTCGTGGTCCAAAATATTGCCTGAATTCATAGTGAAATAACTCACGAATTTCCTTACCAATTTTAAATCGGTTTCCATCGATGATAAGCCCAATCTCTTGACAGTTTGTTGTGGCAATATGAAACTTCTGTGATTTCAGATAACATTGTTACCATTAATTGAATGAAATTGGAAGTTGGAATACTTTTTCGAGGAATCAACGTTGAATGTATAGTCGTCGGATATGTGATCGTGTTCGAACACAGAAAATTCTGAAGAAGTCTATACAAAGTGATACAATAAATTCTGAATGATAGAATGGAGAATAACGTAGTCTTCAGTAGATGAAACATAATTTTCTTTGTGTTACTAGTGAAATTATGGAGTGTTTCTTCGTCATGAGGATGTCTGGTGTCTGACCTCGAAATGGTTTTACAATTTCTCTGATCGAAGGTCATATAATGAAGGTACGCATTTTTAATCAAAATGATGAATTTTGTTTGTCTATGCGCTGAAATCCGCTAGATAGCCGTTCACGATGCGAATGTACTGTCGGTTCGAATCCGGCTATCGGCTGAGCATTTTTCTATAAATTGTGGGATTCATGGTTGTAATCCTGGCAGCACCTCCATGCCACTAGAAGTGGTTCGGATTCCACTAAAAGCTGTAGGTCTCGCTCTTCCTAACCCCGCACAAGTTTCGACTTCTGGGGAGTTGGTTCCCAACTTTGAAGTAGCGATATACAAATTTAACAAAATTTGAGTGCTTCCATAGTGATAATAGGTTCATATTTTAGTTTTTCTGAACTAAAATGATTGAATTGTAGTCCAGTAACTTTGTCGCCTGAACATATGGGGGTAGTATGCGTCAAATCCGGTAGTTCTGATTTTTTGCAGACTTGTTCATGATGTTGGCCTAATGAATGATCCAAGTTTACAGAGTGTCTATATTCTAATCCGCATACGCTTGCCGGTCGTGGGTTCCATTCTCATCGACTGCAGACATTTTTCTGATGGCCCAAGAAAGTGTTTGGGATCACACGTTAAAAGGTAAGGCCCCGTCACTCCTTGCTCGCACAAAACTCTCGAAGACTTCTGAGAGTTGCTCGTAAGGGGGCAACCGAATGACGGATAGAACAATTTTAGAACAATTTTAGTTTGTGACGTCGAGCACCGAACGCAACTTTGTCGAAAATCGAAGAAACCGCGAAAAAATCGTAATTTTCTCTAATTTTGGCGATTATAATCCTGAAGGACTAGTTTTTGGAAAAAAATCTCTCAGGACGTTTTTTAAAGCAGATCAAATTTGCTACAATATGATACCAAAACTATCTCTGAAGACCCAATAGTTTTCAAGATTAAGCCTTTCAAAGTTTATAATTTTTTTCGAACTTCGCAATTTTGCGTCACTCGAATATACTCTAGCGGGATGAAGTTCCAATTACCTCCGACGGATTGTGCTAGTCGAGATGCTAGTACTGTTCGTGTGAAGTCACGAATGCGACCCACCTGTAGCTGGCAAGATGGCGCCTGGTTGTAGGGTCATCACATATAATAAGTATTGGCACCGAACATAAACGTCTCTGTTTATGTTCGGTGGTATTGGTTTTCTCTTAGGTACCTGCTACACATCCTTTGGTTTCTCATGATTCTCATGATTGATTCTGTTGTCAGATCCTTTCTCTTGATGGCTGCTATCCACATTTCTCTTCTTATTTTTGATAGATCTTTTATCTGTGGATAATGCACAGAGTTTTTCACAGAATCACAGTAGGAATGCGCGGCTGCCACTATCCACCACAATACACGTAACCCGCATTTTGCCTTTGAAATCATATTGAGTCATCACAATTCCCTGATGGGGATATGCCATCCCAATACGTCGATCCAGATCCAGACGAACCTCAACCGGGACAGCCAAGAGGGCTAAATTAATCAAATTTTTTTATCTTTTTTCATTATTCGTAGCTCAGTAAACATCCTCGTTCACACTCCTCATTTTCTTTCTTATCATCTCATCATGAAAGTACAGAGGGCTTCGATTGTATGATCAGGGTCAAAATTCAATCAGAACGACAGGATTGCAAAAAATTGCGATGTTTGAAAAAAATTATGAACTTTGAAAGGCTCAATCTCGGAATGAATCTATACAGAGACAGTTTTTATATTATATTGTAGCAAATTTGGTCTACTTTGAAAACGTTCTGAAAGAGTTTTTTTCAAAAACTAGTCCTTTAAGTTTATAATCGCCGAAAACTGCAAAAAAAAAGATTTTTCGCAGTTTTTTCGAATTTTGACAAAGTTGCGTTCGGCGCTCATTGTCACAAACTTGGATTATTCATTAGGTCAACATCTTGAACAAGTCTGCAAAGAATCAGAACTACCGGATTTGACGCATACTGTGATGTATAAAGTTACTGGATTATTGGTGAAAAAGAATATTACTACCACGCGACCTTATACCCCTCAGCTGAGGTCTCGGGAAATAATCTTGGTCCCTGGGTATTAATGATATTCTTCACAACCTTGGTGTGTGAATAACTATTATTCTTTATGTTTTATTGTTAAGTTTCGATTAGTTCACTTAAAGAGGGGGAATAATGATTTGTAAACCAATTATTGTTCTCAATTAGGTCTGCTTTCCGGGCCAGCACGACGCCACCTACCTCACGGACTTCATCCATCCCGACAATCCGACGTGGTGGCAGTCGGAGACCATGTTCGAGGGCATCCAGTGGCCCAACCAAGTCAATTTGACGCTGAAATTTGGTAAGTATGATCCACCGATATAAAATACTAACTAGACCGCTGATGTCACAAGATCAACGCTCAATCTTTCACGAGATCGAACTTTGTTCATTGGAGTATGCGCATTCAAGAGCTGTCATATATTTTACTCACTCATGTTTCCGAACACCAAGACTGTTGTTCATGGCTCGATGTCATGAACAACAGTTTGAGAGTTCCTTCCTATTGAACAGAAGCATTTACAGGCGAGACATTTGGTTGCGATTTTCAGGTTTTTGGAAATATGACATATAGCGGTCTAGATACCTAGTTAAATAAACCAAGGTCGATAGTTATTTATTATGCATAGGAAAAAAGTATTAGATTCTGGCTCAAAGCAAAATGTCATATTTTATCCGTGTATAATAGTCTACTTTTTCTGTGACTGGAAAAACGACGATTCAATATTGGGAAGATTACCATTATAAATAATAACATCAGAAAATTATCGATGTGAAATTTTCTTCAATGCTAGGAAAACCTTTTGATGTAATCAAATATCTGTAAATTTAATTCTGTTATTTGATTGAAAAAAGCGAACTTCGTTTTCGTTTTGTTATTTACGTAACCACAAAGTGGAATGGAAGATAAAAAATTCTTGCAGCTCTTTCTTGAAGGCGGTGTTATTCGCTTATTATTATTACAGAAGGCACAACAAAAGCCATCAACAGTGATTCTATATATCCGGGAAAAAGGACTTTCAAAAAAATGCGAGCTTAGTGGTTGTTTAGTAAATTACGTAACCGCGAAGTGGAATAGAAAATGAAAGGACTTGCAGTTCTCTCTCGGAGACGGTGTTATTATTGGCTTATTTTTCGTAACTAGCACAACATAAGCCATCATCAACAGTGTATATATATCCAGGAAAAAAGTACTCACTTATTTTACGTGGAAATAAAGTAATTGATGGAAAGTAACATTTCATAACCTATCAACAGATATAGGTATTTCAAACACGAAGAATCAGACTACACGTATATAATGAATTCGAGGCAGGCATAGACGGGGCGAAATGATCGCCATCTAGAGGCGGAAATTTAAGTTGATGTAAAATGAACAAAATATTTCATTGATATCACATATTTCGTTGCTCTATTCAAGCAAATGATCCGTTCGAAACAAGTTCATTGCTACATCGGAATAAGAAAACTTGTGTTGTTTCAAAGATATATTCCCATCAAAATGATCATTATTTGATCAAATCAACAAAATGTTTATAGTTGAATCAACATCGACATTATCTTGGATCAACATAAATTGTTTTTGATAAAACCATAATCATATTTTGTTGATGGAATTGATATTATACTGTTGATTCAATTAGACTACATTCTTGATTTGGACAAGCTGCTTCCATGAAATGATCATGTATCTGGTTGATTCAACAAAAAATTGTTTAGTCCAACAAAAATAATTCAAGCATAAATAATTTGTTGATGCAACAAATCCTTTTTTTCCGTGATACCTATATAATTCGTGACGTTCAATTCGATGATTGTCTCATGATGACAACATATTTTTCATATCATGTATCTTGTGATACATTCCTTTTTTTATATACAACTACGATATGGTTTGATTAAACAGTTATTACAATACATGTGATGATGATTGATAATTCGATATAATTCGCCTTGATGGTTTCCAAATTGAACACCTGTATACACACATTCACAAATACACCCAATAACAAAAATCATAAAAAAAATTGAATCATTTTGCCACGAAGTGGTTTTCTTGTAAGATGGATCTCTTCTTAGTGAAGAAGAACCATTGTATTTTTTGCATATGGCCATAACAGCAAAGTTAACATAGAGTAATGAGGAATGTTCGTAAAACTTCTCATTGTATTTCGTCGAAAAGAATTCAGACAATGGCATCAGAAGACATTATTCAGGACTATGCCATGATTAAATCATCTAAATGAGTATATTGGCATCTTCTGGTATTCAGATCAGTCTGTATCAATGACTATCATTGTATTTCCTTCGATCAACGTTTATTCTGATCGATCGCCTTTGATGAACTCAATAAATCAACTTTCTCATATAGACGATGGCATTCGAATTTTCTGAAAATCAGTTTATTGTTGACCACCCTGTAAGAAGACTACTACATCCTTTCTGTAACCGTGAAACAACCCTATCTTCAATGAATTTTGGTAGGGTGAATGCATATCACGAGATTTTTATATTCTTCATTAAGCTTCGAAGACTCAAAAATACACGAAATTCATGATGTTTCACCCTCTAGCGCCGAATCTGGTCATACGATTGAGTTGGGCCAATGGAGTCTTTTACTTAAAATGACTACAGCTACAACATATCAAAAATCCAGCCATTTTTAACGAAAGACATTTTTCCATATAATGTGTGCATGGTCCATTATTTATTTTTTCTCGAATAACGTTTTTTTTACCAGAAATCTTGAACTGAAATTTGTAAATGACCAGCTTCCAATTCATATGGTGAAGAGCTTGCGAATTGGTAAACATGATTATTGCGGTCAATAACTCAACGCAAATGAGATAGAAACGAGAAAAAGATGATAATTCTAACATCATAAATGAGTCATATTAATTTTTATCAAACATAATGCGAAATACCTAAGTCTCTGTATATTGATTGGAATGGTACGACATGTTTTCCATGCACATTCACTATAGAACATTGCCCTAGGCATTACATAGCAGTACCTTTCAAGAATATTGAAGAAAATCAGGAAATCAAATTGTTCTTCATTGCCCTCTCACGGCTCAACCGTGTATTTTCTCATGGAGGTAAGTTGAATTCAATCGGCCTATTTTGGTCTCTAGTTGAACTTGTATAATTTATGGTACTTTGTTCTGGGACACCTTGTATAGTCCTCTAGAATTCATCCGTCTCGAAGTTTCTCATCAATTGTTATAAGGTCAATACTAACAATATATTTTTGTTACAGACAAAGCATTCGATATTACGTACGTTCGTCTCATATTCTATTCTCCGAGGCCAGAAAGTTTCTTCATTTCTAAAAAAACAACAAAGGATGGACCATGGATTCCATATCAGTATTACAGGTGAGTGAAGGCTCATGTCAAGCAATTACTGGAAAGAATCAGAGGAAGAAATTTCCATTCATAAATTAATCATTATATACAGGGTGATTCATCATAATAACACCAAAACTCAAGGTTGGTTTCTTTGATTGGTGTATAGAAAAAAGTTCCTGAGAACCAATGTCTCATCCAGACAATCCGTTAACGAACAGGGTGTTACCTAATGTATGTTCTTTGATGTGGGATCATTTGGACCTTAGTTGGTCTATGAAACACGGGATTGATCCACAGGGAAATTCTGTTTTTCCACGAAAAGTAACATATATTCAATAAAGTCGAGCATATAATGTGCTCGTTTCTGAGCCTATAATTGTGACAAAAGCAACAAAAATGTGTCAAGATGCACGATATTATATAGAGCATAATAAAATTCTCCACAAGGTGGAAAATAGTAGATAGTGGGTGGTAGATATACAGAGTGTTATACAATACACGAACACATCAATCCCTATGCTTCAATCTGTACAAAAATTCGTAAATTATTCGATTTTTTGTGAGTCTTCAAATTAACGAAAAATTTCATGTCGGAAATCAAAATTTGATGACACTGACGTTTTGTATTTAGTTTTCAAATATCTTACTGAAGTAGTTATAGTCGAGTTATACTTCCAATAAAAGGATGAAGTGTTCAGTGTTGGTGTGTGAAAATAAAGGGAAGATTTCTGATGCTCAAGTTTTCACTCTACTTTCGACCATTCTATTTAGTATCTGTGATTAGTATTTTTGTCGATTTTTCGAGCTTGTGTGTGGTCAAATACTTGTGGTGTGAATCGATTTTGAAATGTGTGTATCAATACTATTCTTATGTTGTTCATCTGAAGATTCTCTACAATGCGTTTTAGTCAAGACTACCAGTTGCTTTTCACTAGTTAGCAATGATTTCGGTATTCCTTTTTCTTGTTTCAGTTATTTTTTCAACTTATTTTGCATCGGGATTCTTTCCATGCATGACTTTAGACTCTTCTTGAAATATATTCTTTTAACTCTGGGTCCAAAGATTCAACTCGGATCCAATTCAAAACGTATTTCTTGTGATTCATTTCGGATCTGAGAACTATCAATTTTCTAACCATCATATCAGTCTTTATTTGCTATCTCATCATTTTTATGAACTGTGGCAACGTCGCTCTGGTTTCCACGTTACCCCTCATTCCATATTATGCCTTCCATGAGCAAGTTTTGCCCAAAATTTCAATTCGAACCTTCTTTTGCCCGAAGGTGCCATTCGAATTTAATGAATGAATATCGGAGACTGAAACCTTTGGCACCATAATACACTACACATTGTTTTATCACTAACCAAACCGATTTCATACACCTCAACACGTGTTTCGCTAACTATGTTAGCATCTTCAGGAGCAGATTAAAACTCAAGTTTTTCTTCTCCTGAAGATGCTAACAAAGTGGGCGAAATACGTGTCGAGGTGAAAAAAGTCGGTTTGGTTAGTGTTGAAATAGTGTGAAGTGTAATACCCTGTATGGTGAAAGTGCTCCTTTGTTGAACTGTACATATAGGGGTTACTGCTGGAAAAGTAGGTCCCACATGGAGTTTTTGTCCTATTTGCCTTGTAGGTAAAATTTTTAAGCATTTCACTCTCAATTTAATCAAGTAATATCTGCCCGAACGTTTTTTAGATTGATGAAAAAAAAATGTTTCATGGTTTTCATAATATATATAGAGTGATCCATTTGAAAACGGGTCACCGTTATACAGTTTTCATTTATGTAGCGATATTGAAGATTTTTTTTAAATATGGAGAGGAGAAATGTGAATTTTAGAGCTGAGTGGCGTCTAATTTTTTCGAAAACTAAAGCCTACTTGATCACTTTCAGAGACTGAAATATTAAGAATTCATTAATGGAATTTTTGAATATTTTCTCAAGAAACTGGTTTACATCTCTTTCAGAGGATGCCAATTCCACTGGCTTGCGCGGATTTTTATAGAAAAAAATCGATAATATGGATTCTGTTTTTTGCAGCCCTTGAATTTGATCTAGTAGGCCTTAGTTTTTGAAGAATTTAGGCGTCGTTCTGCTCCGAAATGAACCTTTCCCCCTCCACATTCCAAAGAAATAATCGTCAACATCATTCCATAAATTGAAAAATTATGAGGGTGGCTTGCTCTCTGTATATATATACTGTTTTCTGACCCAACGATTCCAACTTTGAATGATTATGCAATATCGAGTGCAATATTGATATATTGCTTATACAGTGCTTTCGTAAAGTATTAATTCATTTTTATTCAAACTTAAAATTTCTGAGGAATCCCTCTGGAACAGGTCAATTTATATTTTCGATTTGCCACATTTATGAAGGAAAATTGAATATACAGGGTGACCCACGCTTGAGATATGACTACCGCTGCAATTTTTTCGAAGGAAAATCCCTAAATATTATTACATGGACACCTGAATTTGAAGATGTATCAAACATATGGTTTGTATACAGTGCTTCCGTTAAACCCTCGGTTAAACCCAATGCTCTCTTGAAGTGTAGTGGATAAATTCATTTTTATCCATTTGTGAGAAATCTCCTGGAACAGGTTGAGTTTTATTTTCAATTTACCACATTTATAGGGGATAATTAAATAAACAGGATGACCGTCATTTGAGTTATAGAGTCCTCAAATGGAACACCCTATATATTCAACTACGAAATAACCACAATGCTCACAGTGGAATGAAATGTTAAATAAATGCAAAAAGCTCAAAGTCATTTCTACACAGTGTTCATAAAATGAACAACAATGGTAGATATCGGGAGAAAAACAACTACTTCCCTGGCTAATGCCACGCAGGATCCTCCCGAAATCTATGCATCGACTCGTATAAACTATTACTGATATACAAGTGATGCTTTCCTGAATGCCTATTGATTTCGATTAAGCCAGGCCGCCGCTAGACAACCACAGACCGGTTTCGAGCTCTTTGACTCTCATCAGTGCAGTGTAGTTTCCAGCCAGCAGTCCTAAGACCACCGACTCAGCGAAGCCTATAGCCAGACAAAAATCAAGTTGGCATTATATCCACCCCGAGGCGTCTTCCATCGACAAAATGAAAGTAACGCCATCTGAGTAGAACCGAGAAAAGAATCACTCCAAAACTGGAATTCCCATACGGGAGTGGCTGGTAGCCCGACTGGCGTAATTTCAACTACGAAATAGCCACAATGCTCATAGTGGAATGAAATGTTAAATAAATGCAAAAAGCTCAAAATCATTTCCACACAGTGCTCATAAAATGAACAACAATGGTAGATTTCGGAAGAAAAACAACTACTTCCCTGGCTAATGCCACGCAGGATATTGAATTACATCCTCCCGAAATCTATGCATCGACTCGTATAAACGAATACTGATACAAGTGATTTTTTGTTTGGCCAGGCTTCGCTGAGTCGGCGGTCTTAGGACTGCTGGCTGGAGACTACACTGCACTGATGAGAGTCAAAGAGCTCGAAACCGGTCTGTGGTTGTCTAGCGGCCTGGCTCAATCGAAATCAATAGGCATTCAGTGAAGAATCACTTGTATCAGTATTCGTTCATACGAGTCGATGCATAGATTTCGGGAGGATGTAATTCAATATCCTGCGTGGCATTAGCCAGGGAAGTAGTTGTTTTTTCCCCGAAATCTACCATTGTTGTTCATTTTATGAACACTGTGTGGAAATGACTCTGAGCTTTTTGCATTTACCCTATATATTATTGAATTTTTAGAACCCTCATGGGAGGCTTGATTCGAAACTATACCACACATAGGGTTTGTTCACATAGTAAGCCCGTTGAAATCAAAGCTATCGTGGAAATACTGATGACGTAATTTCGACACACGAATAAGTATTCTGTATAGCTATGTATTAATTGAATTTTGAAGAATGCCTGAATGAACAGTGTTTCTTCAATTTTTAACGAATCTATCCATTAACTTACGAAAAGACTTATTTTACGGCACACACTGTATACTAACCCTGTATGTTATTTATTTTTAAATTCAGATTTCTATTGAGATTCCAGAAGGCGAAATTCGAATGATCATAGAATGTACCACTCGAAGAAATTGTAGTGATCTTTATAACTCATATGTGGATCACCATGTATATTCAATTTTCTTTCATAAATGTGGCGAATTGAAAATGGAAGCGACCTGTTTCTGAAGCTTCCTGAGAAATTGATAGTATGGCTCTAAATGAATTGATTCAGAACTCAACGAAAGCCCTGCATATTACTTTGTCAAAAAACCCTCTAATTATAGAAGTAATAATAGCAAGAAGAGTAACTTTATATAGCAGGGTTGGGCAAAAGTATGGAACCAGAATATCTTGGTGAACATTTGTTAGATTTTTTTGAATATATGTACATGGTGATTTCAGAACGTGATGGATTTGAAAATGTTATCGTCGATGTTGCCACTTTTTCAGTTATTCCGGAATTATTATCAACTTCCTTATTTTAAATAGAACTTCCTGTATTCAATTGAATTTTCAGATTCTTTCTGAAGAGCTGATTTCATCGATCCATCACACTTGGGGTCTAGCAAGAATGATTACTGAGATATATAGGGTGTTCAAAATCGAGATTTTTCAACTTTAGGATTTTTTTGTGTCGAAACTATTCATTATCGGTCAAAACGGCTTTCATGTCCCCATCTTAACTTTTGATCCACTATCTATTGGTATTTAATTGGAACAGATACAGGGTGATCAGATTTCTGAATCTTGAACCACCCTGTATTTGTTTCAATTAAATGTCGGTAGATAGTGAATCAGAAGTTGATGTAGGGACATGTGAGCAGTTTTGACCAATAATGAATAGTTTCGACACAAAAAAATCCTAAAATTGAAAAATCCCGATTTTGAACACCCTATATCTCAGTAATCATTCTTGCTAGACCCCAAGTGTGATGGATCGATGAAATCAGCTTTTCAGGGAGAATCTGTAGAGTCAATAAAATACAGGGTGTTCTATTCAAAATAAGGAAGTTAATAATAACTCCGGAATAACTGAAAAAGTGGCAACATCGACAATAACATTTTCAAATCCACCACGTTTTGAAATCACCCTGTACATATATTCAGAAAAATCTAACAAACGGGTACCGAGATATTCACCTGGTTTCATACCTTTGCCCAACCCTGTAGATAGACAAGATAAGTTTGATTTCAGTGCTACCTGTCGAGACACCTACGGTCTACCTGACATGACCCACACTAGAAGAGGTGAAGAAACTAGAGCCCTTTGTACCTCCGAATACTCAGATATTTCACCTCTGAAAGACGGCAACGTGGCCTTCGGTACCCTTGAAGGACGGCCTTCAGCTTATAATTTCGATACCAGCCCTGATCTGCAGGTAAGTTGAGAGCTAGATTGAGGGTGGATTAAAGCACAACGTAATTTAGCCCGAATTTAATTCAACCCTAAGATTGAGAACTTGAATCTCACGTTTTCAATAAATCGGTTCTTGTAGTTTACTCAAGAATTTGAGGATAATTAAAGGATATGCTCATTGAGCAAATGGAAACTAGAAACGCGAATATCTTCTTAATCGTTCGAAATTACCCTAACGAACCCGGTAACGTTGAGTTCGTCATAATAATCCCTAACAGATTATGGAATAAAATACAGGGTGTCCAACTTGAAAATCGAAAGTTAGTATCGTTTCCGGTCGAACCGGAAGTGATTTTAACAAAAATGGGTTTGTCAATTGATGAGCAGTGTGGTACCCACCAATTTTTGAAATCCGAGCTCAAATGATTAAAAAAATACAGCACTGGCCAGTGCCCCATACAAAAGTGCCCAGTGATGAATGAAGTATTTGTATTGTATTATATGATGGGTATAGGTAAATCCCCAGTTGATCACCAAAGGCAAAAGCAGAGTAAAATTTTGATCTGCAATGGCTTCAAAAGGCATTATATCAAAACAACTACAAACAATGTATAACCACTAAATCTATGCACCGTGTTACTGCGGCGGTGTCTAACCCGAAATAATCTGTCTGACGACGCCAAAACGACAACATCACGTGGTATAGAGTTTTCTGGAGCAGACAGGCCAATGTGCTAGATAATTACATTCAAGGAATTGTTAGATATCGTCCAGGTGGTTTCACTCGATGTGATTTATTTTATATCGAATATCAAAATATGGGGCTGAAGAACAAATCACTCATAATAATTTATGCGTAATGAGGAATCCTTAACGAGATATCCCTTCTGGTTCAGTACAATGGAACATCAAATGGTCAATCCGAATACAGTGACCACGCAATACATCAACTTGCTTTCCCACCTCACGGTGCAAGTCTCCCAGTACAAGAAACATCAAAACCACAGCCACCGATATATCCTAACAAAACCAGCCCGTGTTACTTGGGCAGAGTTTGGCCTAAAATAATCTGACGATGCCAAAACGAAAACATGATATCTCGCATCACATGATATACAATTTTCTGCAGAAAACATATGCCAATGAGCAACAATGCATTAGTCTGTTTATCACTTTATGAAGTTAATTTTGAAGCCTCATCAAACTGTTTGGTTTGGTTTTTCTGAGTTTAATTATTACCTTTCGGTAATTCAAGGGCACGTGGCCCTTGTGAAATATGAACCCGACCCCTGTTTGCCCTGTTACTACCTATACTTACTATTTGTTCGTTTACTTTCATTATTTCCATAACTATGATACTTCCGAAACATGTTCCTTCACGATTGATCATTCTAATGAATGTTATTGTTTAGATGACTCAGGATTTCCATCTATGATTCTGTGTATTGTTCATTACATTTCACCTGTGATTCCTTATAGTTTTCGGAGTTTTAAGTGCTATTGAACTATTTATTTTGTCTCGAATATCAATATATGGAGACGTGCTGATGAACAAATCATTTATGATAATTTATGCGTAATGAGGAATCTATGGAAAAATATCACTTCTCGTTCAGTACCACGGGACTAAAATAGTCAATCCGCGAAGACAGTGACCACGCAATACATCGACTCGTTCTCACCTCACAGTGCAAGTACCATTAGTGGCGCTGTCCCAGCACCAAGAACTAGTAGTGAGCCGTGGTTTCAAAAGGCACTCATGAAAACCACTGCAAACAATGTTCTACCAGCTTACTCTTATAAAAACCAATGCCCCGTGTTACTTGAACGGAGTTTGGCCCAAAATGATCTGACGATGTCAAAACGACACCAAGTGGTTTACAGTTTTCTGGGATTCTGGAGCAGACATGCCAATGTGCTAGATAATTACATTCAAGGACATGTTATATTAGCTCCAGGTGTCATTGAATTCCACCTGTAAACCATCATAGTTTTCTCAGGCAGAGGTGCATTGCTATTGAACTATTTATTTCGTCACGAATCTAAAATATGGAGAAGGGCTGAAGAACAAATCAATAATAATAAGTTATGTGAAATGAGGCGTATATACAAAATTATCACTTCTCGTTCAGTACCACGGGACATCATTTGGCCAATCCGAAAACAGTGACCACGCAATACATCGACTTGTTCTCCCACCTCACAAAGCAAGTCCCATCAGTGGGACTGTCCCAGGAGCAAGAAACATCAAACCACAACAAACGATGTTTCACCAACAGTTATTTTTCAATGAAATCAATGCCCCGTCTTACTTGGGTGGAGATTGACCTAAAGTAATCTGACGATGCCAAAACGAAAACAACACATCTCGCATCACATGGTACACAGTTTTCTGGAGCAGACATACCAATGTGTTAGATAATTACATTCAAGGAATTGTTATCATACGTCCAAGTGTCATTAAATTTCAGCTGTAAACCATCAAAGTTCTCTCAGGTGAGGTGCATTGCTTTTGAACTTTTCATTTTGTCTCGAATCTCAAAATATGGAGAAAGGCTGAAGAACAGATAATCACTAATAATATTTGTGCGAAATGAGGAGTACATGAAAGAATATTACTAATCGCTCAGTACCACGAATAATCAAGTGGCCGATCCGAATGCAGTGACCACGCAATACATCGACTCGTTCTCCCATCTCACAGTGCAAGTCCTATCAGTAGTGCTGTCCCAGTAGCAAGATGCATAAAAAAAATCACTTCTCGTTCAGTACCACGGGATATCAAAGGACAACCTGAATACAGTGGCCACGCAATACATCGACTTGTTTTTCCACCTCACAGTGCAAGTCCTATCAGAAGTGCTGCACCAGTAGCAAGATACATCAAACCACAACAAACGATGTTTCACCATCAGCTATCTTACTTGGGCGGAGATTATAACATAATCTGACGATGCCAAAACGAAAACATCACATCTCGCATCACATAATACACAGTTTTCTGGAGCATACATGTCAATGTGCTAGATAATTACATCAAGGAATTGTTATAATACGTCCAGGTGTCATTAAATTTCACCTGTAAACCATCAAAGTTCTCTCAGGTAGACGTGCAGTGCAATTGAACTTTTTATTTTGTCTCGAATCTCAAAATATGAAGAAGGGCTGAAGTACAAATCATTAATGAATATTTATTTGAATTGAGGAGAATATAAAAAAAAATCACTTCTCGTTCAGTACCACGGGTCATCAAATGGCCAATCCGAATACAGTGACCACGCAATACATCGACTTGTTCTCTCACCTCACAGTGCAAGTCCTATCAGAAGTGCTGTCCCAGTAGCAAGATACATCAAACCACATCAAACGATGTTTCACCATCAGCTATCTTACTTGGGCGGAGATTGACCTATAAACATAATCTGACGATGCCGAAACGAAAACCTCATATCTCGCATCACATGATACAAAGTTTTCTGGAGCAAACATGTCAATGTGCTAGATAATTACATTCAAGGAATCGTTATAATACGTCCAGATGTCATTAAATTTCACCTGTAAACCATCATAGTTTTCTCAGGAAGTGGTGCGTTTCTATATTGAACTATTTATTTTATCTCGAATCGAAAAATATGGGCTGAAGAACAAACCATTAATATCACTTCTCGTTTTGTCCCACGGGATATCAAATGGCCAATCCGAATACAGTGACCACGCAAAACATCGACCTATTCTTCCATTTCACAGTGCAAGTCCCATCAGTAGTGCTGTCCCAGTAGCAAGATACATCAAACCACAACAAACGATGTTCCACCATCAGCGATCTCTTAATGACATTAATGCCCCGTCTTACTTGGGCGGAGATTGACCTAAAATAATCTGACGATGCTAAAACGAAAATATCATCTCGCATCACATGGTACACAGTTTTCTGGAGCAGACATATGCCAATGAGCAACAACGCATTATTCTTTGGATTGATCAATTACGTCCAGGCATCATTGCATTTCACCTGTGATCCATCATTGTTTTCTGAGGTACATGTGCTATTGAAGTATTCATTTTGTCTCGAATATCAAAATATGGAAAAGTGCTGAAGTACAAATTATGCATGATGATTTATGCGTAATGAGGAATCTATAGAACATTATTTTCCGTTCAGTACCAAGGGACTATAATGGCCAGTCCGAATACAGCGACCATGCAATACATCGACTTAATGTTCTCACCACCACAGAGCAAGTCCTATTAGTGGCGCTGTCCTAGTAGAGTTCTTAAATGTACTTGACACTGTTGTTCTGACGTGTTTTGTATATACAAAAAACGTCAAAACGTCTGTGACCAAAGTAATATATTGTTAGGCCCAATTTGAATCAACCTTTGAAGATTAATACTGGATTATTAGAATCAGAATCTTTCGATGTTCACACTCAACAGTAAACATTGTCAAATTCGACATTTTACATTTTGTGACAAACACGTGACCTGAAACAACAAATTTCGTCGCAGAACATTAAAATTATACACTATTTTCAAGTATATATGGGCTCCTTTTAGAAGGAATACTCAAGGGAGGTCTATAAAACAAGTTTAACGTCAAGTACTGAGGAGTCCTCAGATAAGGAAGACTTGAGGAGTTCTTGAGGAAACGACTATAAATACGGGCCATAAGAATACAAATAAATGTCTGATGGACTTAAAAACAAAAGTATAAATGGAAGTGAATCAAAAATTTCCAAATTTAACAGAGAGAATTCCTTACTTCGTGAAATATTCCAATGAATTACATTCGTGCATAAAAATGACCAGACAATTTTGCATTCAAGCGTGTTATCTTGTACAAATTGCATTCGTTTTCGGTCTCTTTCGCCAAAATATGACAATAAACTCTTGCAATTTCTAGATAACAGGCTTTCTTGCAAAATAATGTAATTATAGCCGATAATTAAATGCAAGGAATTGTTATATTACGTCCAGGTGACATTGAATTTCACCTGTAAACCATCATAGTTTTCTCAGGCAGAGGTGCATTGCTATTGAACAATTTATTTTGTCTCCAATCTGGAAATATGGCTGAAGAACAAATCATGATAATTCATGTGAAATTAGGAGTATATAAAAAAATATCACTTCTCGTTCAGTACCACGGGACATCAAATGGCCAACCCGAATACAGTGACCACGCAATACATCGACTTGTTCTCCCACCTCACAGTGCAAGTCCCATCGGTGGCGCTGTCCCAGTAGCAAGAACTCGCAGTGTGCAATCCGGCGCCGGTCTTCTGCATGATGGAGCACGTCACCACGTACTTGAACTGCTTCTTCAGCTTGCTCAGGGTGCCAAGACACAGCTCGGAAACGCTGGCGCTCCACTGGTTCACCTTTTCCTGCTGGTAGCTGGTTCCAGTTAGAACGTTCTCGATGGTGTCTTTGACGATCTTGCTGACATCGTCGACGACGAACTGGTTGTCATCGATCTCCATCTCGCTGATATTCTGACAGTCTGTTCGGTTTGACAGGTAATTTTGATTGCTGAACATGATGACGGAGGTTGAGATCTGTCAGCCTGTAGGGAAGATCTAGTTGTGAACTGTTATTAACGCGCTGAATTTTTATTCGGTTGAGTTTAGTAACTACTGGTGATATATCAGCCGACGTTAACAGCGATGAAAAAGAGTTCGGTTGCAAATTTCCATGGAAAACTGTACGAAGGGCGTTTGTGTGAATTCGTGATGGAGACACGCAAACTGCTATTTCCGTGAATACTTCGGAAAGGATAATGTGTTCTAAGCAGTAGCGGTGTGCAGATATAGAAAAACTGGAAATTGAAATCGTCAATTACCGAAAAATGAGTTTACTTGGGACAAATTCACTTTCAGAATATGAAAATATTCACTGTCCTAAGTTACCCAAGTATGGGAGTTCAATGAGACTGTACTCTGTATAGAACTCTCATACGTTCCAAATTTGATTATGGTTGTGCAGCATACGATTCCACCAAAACATCAACTCTGAAGACACTGGATATCCTTCAAAATACAGCCATGCGAATCATACTATAGGAGCACCCACCCATCGAAAGCCTGGAATGCGAAGTCGGAGAACCTTCTCTACAACATCGAAGAAAGCAATTAAGCTTGTCCTATGCTGCCAGAATAGCTTCGCTCAAAAATGTTTCAGCATTCTGTGATACAATAACAACACGCTTCTATTCAGCATACCAACAACCGAGAACAGACCCACCTTTCTAGAGGGTTCGAAGATACCTGAGTTCAATTCAATAACAAAAATTTCCGCCTCTCTATCCTTCGAATCTGAGCACTCCTTCCCCTTGGCTCATCCATCAACCAACCATCAACCAATCCCAGTTCAAGAAAAATGAAACGAATTCCCAAATCATCATTCAAAACTTCTGAGAAATCCTCCACCAATACCACGGATTCATAAAAATATACACAGATTCCTCCAAATCAGATTTAGGAGTAGGAGCAGCAGTAGTTGCACCCGCTACTACACTTACCTACAAACTCCCGGAATCCACCACAATTCTCACAGGTGAACTCTACGTGATCCTACAAACAATATGTTTCGCAAATCCTAGTGATTCTGAGAAATTCATGATAATATATGAGACTCTCTTAACTCGATCCCTACAAATGTTACGCCAATTATATATGATAGGCAGATTGATGAAACGGGAACTCCACAACATTCAAAATTCCAACAATCAAATAGTGTTCACTTGGGTCCCATCACATATAGGAATACCTGGGAATGAAAAAGCTGACACCAGTTCACGAGAAGCAATCAGTAATCAAAGCCAGCAACCATCCACAATACACTCCTGCTACTGATATGAAATCTTATATTAAGAAGAAGATGCTGCACATTCAGAATGCAAAGTAGTAAACTTCGGAATCAAAGCTCCGAGAAATCAAACCAAATATGGGACCATCGAGCTACCATTCATTGAAAAGAAGAGAACAGGTGATAATGACTTGACTCCGCTTAGGACATACTGAACTTACACACGAATACTTGATATCGAGGCAAATGAAACCAATGTGTGATATCTGTGGAGTTCTATTAACAGTGAAACATATAAAAGTGCAATGTCCCATGTTCCAGATCGATAGAGACATGATCAAAATATCCTTCAACTTGAAAGGAATGTGAGACTACAGTAAAAGTGACAACATCATTTCATTTTCGGTGAATCTGAATATTATGAACGAAGTGTAATATATCAACTCCACCGCTAATGACCCAAAGGGTAGAAGCGGTTTTTTGCTAATTAAAAAAATTATCTAAAAATTGTAATTGGACCCACCTGTTTACCATTTGACTCCCTCTTTCAGATAAAGTTTTCGACCACTTGTTGTCGCCTCGCTTCTAACCATCACTTATATATCTTTTTATACTTTCGAAATATCTGCTCTTCAACTAACCAAGATATTAAATTGAGGTAATGTTTACATTTGCTTTGTTTCCGCTAGTAAAATTAGAGCATCCGAAGTTGAGTCCCGAGGTTCCAAGTAACCCCATTTCACGGTACTTCTCGTTATAGTAGGCATATAGAAGACAAAGAACTCTGAAAAGAATATTGCGAATTCCCTGGAAGTCTGGGTGGATAACTCTCTCAGAAATACCAAGAAATTTTTCAGAACCCAGAAAGCATTGTAGGCATGAAATGACCAGATGGATGTGACAAAAATTGACTACATGAACCGCTAAAATGGAGGTAGGCGAAAACAGATTCGGATCGGATCAAGCTAACAACAAGACATTCTCACAACAAGAGGTACTATTACCCTAGACACGAAATTACCTCGAAACCTACATGTAGAAAATATTGTCATCTGAACAAAATCCTCACCAGAAAGATCTGAGAGGAAACGTGGGAATATAAACAACCCATCAATACTTCGATATAAGAACATTGTTTTAGTGAGAACTATATATACGATCACCAACGGTATATAGTAGTATGGCAAAACAAAATGATCCTAACAAAGAAGGTACAATGTTAGCCTGCTTCTGAACAATAGTGACGCTATGGTCAATATAGTGATTCCGATGAGGCATTGCATAGTCATGGAACACCATAGAGAACATCTAAGGAACGACATAACCCGCTGTAAGGGAGCTAGTCCTTGAGGAGGACAGCCCCTGATGAAGATTCTTCGTGAAAAACAAACACATATGTGGAATCCGAAGCTGTACATAAGTTCGAACTTGTGATTTTGTAAAATTCTTATTTCAAGAGAGTGTTCACCGTTTTAGTAATGTTCGTCTCGTTTATACCATGTGAGAATATTCTTCGAATTTTTAAGAAGGTTGGTAATTATTGTATGAATGGTTTTTAATCTCATGAAATTATTCAGGGAGCAAGTTATATCAGATTGAAAAAATTGAAAATAAGCTGTGGCCTGGAATTAGCTATTCAAGATACGCCCCTGAATTTAGGAGGGAAGTTAGATTGAGTCGAGAGTTTATATCATCAAATTGATTTGTTACCATAGAGGTTTCAGAGCCTAGCACTGCAAGGCTCGGATAATGGTGTTGAACTATAATTTTATTCCACACGCATATTCGAACGATCATATTTCTATAGCTGAATTCCGTTAAAAACAGGTGATTTCTAGATAATAATTTTCCAGTCGGTATTTCGAATTCATGCTGTAAATGACGGAAAAAAATAGTAGATTGTTTCACAAGGATCGAACGTATTTTTTGATCCGAATGAAAAATGCTATTTTTCCTGCAACCGAAAGAATTAACTAAAATAAATATTAGTTAAGTAACCACCAATACCGTGCCATATATGTATGCAATGCAACACATCATACGTCTGGTGAGATTATTCTACCTGCATTAACAGATCAAGATTATTACCAGGTGTCAGCCCTAATAGCAAATACCGCGTGCCAGATATAGGAAGAAGACGTGGAAAATGTTAAGGTATTTAGCATATAAACAACAATGATAGCGTTCATTTATTTCTCTCCATAGTCCACTGTGTTTGGCTCGGTAACCAAATGAAGGTAAACAATATCGTTGTGTGAGACAAAAAAACTATTGCTGGCCGTGATTATTCAAAAACAAGTTATCCATCCCGATAATGACGAATGAAATACAGATCAAGCAAGTATGTAAAGCTTGAAGGTGTATTTATATCTTCAGCATGGGTATAAATAAATGACAAATCTGCCAAAATCGGAAACAAATCAGGTATGCGTCCCAACCCAAATAACCAACCGTAACAATATTGTTTATTCTTGATGACGTCTAGTACATACTTTTCAGTTCCTAGGAGATAAAGTTCAACTTCAGCTCCTATAGGAACTAGAACAGTTGCCTCGCAACATACCTATGTGTCAGTAATAGAAAAGTAAATTCAAGAGCTAATTTTGGTATTGAAATGGACGACTTTTGTCTCGGTTGCAGGAAACATTCATTTTTTGTAATTCACTGGGTTTAGTCCATATTTTTATGAGAAGGGAAAAACTCATTATCGCAATTAAAACAAAAAACACTACATATTCAGTTAATGATTTAGATTTCAAGTTTCCAAACATAACCTGAAGATTAAGAAACCAAACAAACCTTGACTTCACATAATAGGTGTAGGAAAATAAAAAAAATTTGAAGCTTCAACGCTCTGTATACGGAGCGTTTGCGGACACATACTCATGTATAAAAAAATCTCATTTTGACCTGGAAAATAAGTCCTTGCAATCTTGATACTGACTTTTGAAACACCCTATATATGGTGCTGAATGATGTGATGGGAAAATGGGAAGGTAATTATTTTTTCTACGACTGCTATGAAAAGTAGCGCATTTCTCAAAGCTTACTTACTTTCAAAACCATGTATTGCCCATACTGTGAGAAATATTTTTTCTCACGGCACTTTGCCAACACCACATACATTTCCATGGAGAATTAACAAAAATCGATCAAAACTTGGCTGTTGTTCAGCTTTGAAAAGTTGTCACAACTGTCAGAAGAAGTTTTTTAAATTCTATAGGGTAGTTCTCATTAGTGCTTTTGATAGAAATCGCATTTTCCATCAAATATTGTTCCAACAATTCATAATAAATAATATGATGTATAAACCAAGATGTGATACACCGTCAGAGACAGAGATAATGGAAAAAGCTGCGAAAGTTTGATTTGTTTCCGGAAATTTCAAGAAAGAAGTATGAATTGGCATATTGGTATGAAAAATTTATGGAATCTGAGGAAATACAGAAAGAAATTCTTTTCGGAAAGTGTACTTTTTTGAAATACTTTGTGGAACTAGGAAAGGCGTCTATTATTTGGTCACAATATTCAATGTGGCATAATGCCACATTATAAAATGAATACCAATAAGTCACATTACTCAGATTTTTTGAATAAGTGCAGTTGTAGAAAAAGTTTAGTGTGCAACATGTGGGAAAAAGCACTATTCTCACTCGTGCGTTTGCATCACTCGCTCTTCAGGCTAGTGTCACAAACTTTCGCACTCGTGAGAAAAGTTGAACTTTTCCCACTTGTTTCACAATATACTATTCCTTTATCACTGTAATCGAGCATATGAAATAGATTTCTAGACGTTTGACATCAACTTCGACCTACCTATCGCTGGAATCCAAATAATATTCCGTATCTAAATATATTATTATGGAATGATGTATACAGTGTGGACCAAAAGTCCATCGCCCCTGCTCTCTATAACTTCTTTATTTTACATTGACAAACATGTTTAAAATTTTCGGAAGGTTAGGAGGATAGGGAAATGAAATATATTATCTTCTATTTGTAATGGTTTCCTCATTGATGAACTGGTGTAGAAATGGAAGAAATAATAATTTACAAGTATGCATGCATATTTCCAAAATTATTAACGTTTGTGATGTGAAACTATTCATCCAACTTGTTCCAAATTCAACGTAGATTAATAATATGATGGTTTGAAGGGCGTCTCATTGAAAAAAAAATTCCTAGTCACTGCGCTTTTTTAAGGCACTCACACAATTGGATAGATCGAATGAAACCCTTCGTCTGATTCATTTTTTTTGTAATACGTAAAATGAAGAAGTTACGAGAAGGGCGAAGAACTTTTGGTCCTCACTGTATACGGAATATTTTCAAAATCCAGGCATTTATTTGTGGAAAAACCTTCATTTCACATGAAATGGCGAAATATCCAAAATTGTTGTCATTGTTTCATTCATCCATGGCCATTCTTGCTCGGCGTGAATGATGTCTTTGCGGAAAAATCATTGTCGACACATTTTTTTCTGTGAATAATCTGAATGCCCAAAAAACGTGAACGTGATTCAGCAGTTAGTAAGTACTAGGAAATGCATGCAAAGCAGCACACTTTCATATGAAACGAAGTTGAACTCGCTTTCATAGTTAAGCTAAAAATAAATTGCTTTTATTCGAAATAAACTCGAAGCAAACTTCCTCTATGCATATAGGAATTATTTATTTATTAATTCATTTTTTTATCGCTTGGAGCGCACGAAAGGAAATTCCTATAATGTTCAAAGTTCAAAGAACATCGTGCGTTCCTAGGGAGGATAGGGACAGGAGGTAGGTATTGGATTTTTTTTTGAACTTCTGGAGATTGTATGTTGTTGGGAATACTTCCTCAGGCAATGAATTCCAGAGCCTAGCCGTTCGATGGATGAAGGAGTTTTGATAAAGTGCTGTTCGACATCTTTCGAGGTTGACAACAAAAGGATGTACTGACTGGGCTTGTCTAGTTCGTCTGACTGGTATTGCTAGTGAAGGGATGATAGCAGAGATTTCCGAAGAACATTTTTTTAGATCTTTCAAATTTTTCTTGGAAAAAAGGCATGATTTTGGGTAACTTGGGACACTCATTTGTTTAGCTCTTTTGGATCTTCAGAATGAAAATCGTTAAAACATGTTACATGTACCCTTTGCATTTTTGTGATAAATAAATAAATATTTTCTTAGATTTGTTTTCCCTCTAAATGATTTTGGAGTAGTGCATGCATTTTCGGTGTGAAACCGGTACAGTCCCATTCAATCTCAATAATGACAATTCTTTGAGGAACATCACAAATAAGATATGTTTTTTGGCTGAAAGTATCTTGTAATTTTGAAAATTGTTTTCTTTCCGATAAGTCACTCTTTAATTAGCCGAAACTTTTACTCTTTGTGTCACAATTTCGTAGTTTTCTGAAAAAAATGTCATGAGAAACTGTAAAGCAAGCTAAATACTGTCGATTAACCGAGGATGTGGTACATTTATTATTCCAGATTTTTTGGGAATTTCTCTCCTCGTTTCTATAAAAATTTTGGGGCGAATCATCTGATTTGTCCTTAGAAACGAGGAGAGAAAATCCCAAAAAATCTGGAATAATGTATAGCAAGCCTTTTTTGAATCTAGAAATATGCCTATATTGTTTCTTTGTTGTCATCAAGCGATTCAATTATTGTATTTGTAACATAAAATATTGTAGGTTTCTGTTCCTATTCCAGGGTTGAACTCTAATAATTATTGATTGGGAGATATAATATAATAATATTGATTCATGTTTTAATAAATCATAGAGGTCAGTCCATAATGATGAAGTAGTCTGAGCTATTCTTGTTGCTATACAATAAGCGCAAATTCTTGGAAATCAACCTCTAACCTGCTAAAGTTGCCTGAGTTTCCATTATGTAATCATACAGGAATGATCTAAGGTCATTTCTGTTCATCGCATACTACATAAACAGAGATGGCAATAGAACATTATCAAGTTTAATGCAGGTTGAGCAAACGCAAACGAAGATACCTTACTTCGAAAGTGCAAAACATAGTTGAGTTATAGCACAGCAGGTTCTAGTTTACTGATAAAAGTCAGCAAGCCGTTGTGTACTGTGTATTCGAAAACTGAGTACTCGGATGAGTATTCGATTCCTGGAAGTATTCGAATTCCAAGTAGGTATTCGATTCTCGAGAATAATCGATTCTCGAAAATACTCGAGTCTGTCCATCACTATTTATGTGAAATTAGGTGACAAAATGTTATTCATGTTATACTAGAGTCACTGGATGGTATTAGTAGATAACGAATACCATTCAGTGATGGTATATTTGATGTTTTTCTGTCACGTACACATTGAAAACACCGAACTTGACTGGCCAATCAGAGTCGAGAGTCAAGCTCGGTGTTATCGATACGCCGAACTTGTGATTGGTTCATTTGAGAACTACTTGAAACAGTCAATATAATACTAATTGTTTATAAACTGCTTTTTCAATTATAATTTGTTTGCTTTCTTACAGGAATGGGTGACCGCCACCGAGCTAATGGTGACCCTCGACCGCCTCAACACCTTCGGGGACGAGGTCTTCGGCGACGAGCAAGTCCTCAAGTCCTACTTCTACGCCGTGGCCGACGTGGCGGTAGGCGCGCGGTGTAAGTGCAACGGCCACGCGTCCGAGTGCGTGGCCTCGACGGCGGCCGACGGCGCCAAGCGACGCGTGTGCAAGTGCGAGCACAACACGGCGGGGGCGGATTGCGGCGAATGTTTGCCTTTTTACAATGACGCGCCCTGGGGCAGGGCCACCGCGCAGAACTCGCACGAATGTAAACGTGAGTATCACGCCAACAATCTCAAAGGTCGAACAAGGATAAGTGAATCAAATCGCGATTGGTATGAAGATGATAATTCTTCGGAATCATTGCCAGAGAATTGTCATTCTTCGTCGATGTATTTCTCACACCAAATAAGTCTGGAGACGGGATTGCTATAAATGTGTCGTGAGTCATCTCACGTAATGACGTATCTCATTGAAATCGGAATTTGAGATACTTCGTCTAATGTCTTATATTCTTATACCCTATATTATATTCATTGGGTTTCGTGTAATTAAATATCGAATACTCAGCCTATCTCAGATTATTGGACTACCAACGCGAAGTGACCTAAAACTATGAGAGTAAAGTAAATACGTTAGATATATTTTTATTATTTGTTGAAAATTTCAACAGTGACGTATCTTATCCGGTTTACCACGAAAATTAAAATAACTCAGGTGACGTCTCAAGGTACTGAGAGGGGTATTGTAAGGTATTGTACAAGTCGAATCAATTTCTGTGTTTTTAATCAATAGAAATGAATATTCGGATCTGATATTCAGGTGAAGTCATTTTATATTCATGGCGTTTCTAAGGCCAACCTGACAAATATGATCTCACGTACTGACATATCTCACAAACATATTTTTCTCCCCGTTTGTAGCGGTGCTTTTTCGAAATCTTACCATATCATAACAACTAGTTCTAGTTCTCCCCCTAATAAATCAAATGAAAATGACCTTCCATGAACAAACCTCTGAAATATGGACGAATTGAGATGTTGACAGTCTTTGAATTTCACTTCTATACAGTTACGAAAACTGAGATACGTCATTACGTGAAATGACCGTCGGTGTGTATGTATTATCGAGTTTATTTCTCAAAAAGTGCAAGCCCTCGACGCCACTGTACCAAATTTCTATGTTACCTGTACAATATCAGGTTATTATTTATTAACAAAATAGTCTGCTTCACATTTTAAATGTCCAATGAATTACTTAAACACCGGAAAACCATTACTAACAACAAAAACGACAAATGACAGTCCTTACATCGATTAATAATGCTCGTCTACTATGAAACTTTTGCGGTGCCGCCACGTTCAACTTCAAATAATTCATATTATCATTTTGTCACCTCACAATAACTAATAAGATTATAATAACTATCAAATAGTGACTTTCTGACCGTTATCTGGTTGTAGGTGTATCATTATTTTATAACGGTTGGTGCATTCTTCGTTATATGCTATCAATGCCGAGTTGAAAAAGTACTCGTACTGAAATATCATCCCGAATCATCGATTTGTCAGAGCAGTTCCACAGAGGTTCTTATAATGTGGTACCTTTTCCCCAAAAGAAATGAACAAAATAAATCCCCCTTCTCAAATAGTTATTCTCAGCATGTGACTACAGAGTCGAGAAATAAAAAAGAGAACGTGAAAGAAGGTCAAACATTGATCAAGCATAGGTACATCTAAAAGGTGGAAAACCGCTAAGTGGGCATAATGCATGCGAATTGTGACAGAACTGGAAGAAGCATGAAAAATTTGTTATTCTTGCCTATTGCATGTGCCAAGCAAGACGTACCTATGCAATAGTATACTGAATTGGTTTCGAATTCTGGCAGAAGGAGAAACATATACGACTGCAGAGTCAAAACGCATGAAAAAAGCTTCAGATAAATCGTGAGCGACGTCACTTACGCATCTGAAGGGAGAATAGTCATCTTGTGACAGTCATACAAACGCCTAAAGCGTCAAGAATCATGAAAAGGCTCTTATGGAAACTGTGTCACGTTTGCTTCAAGCGACGCGCTGCAAGTGCAACGGCCACGCGTCCGAGTGCGTGGCCTCGACGGCGGCCGACGGCACCAAGCGACGCGTGTGCAAGTGCGAGCACAACACGGCGGGGGCAGATTGCGGCGAATGTTTGCCTTTTTAAAATGACGCGCCCTGGGGCAGAGCCACCGCGCAGAACTCGCACGATTGCAATCGTGAGTACTGAGTATTCGCGCAATGAGACGGCATTCTGAATAAGAATAGTTATTCGCGAGATTCACAAAGTGGGCGACATCTAGGTTACATAATACGAACACCAAACTGGGGAAAAACAAACTGTTGTCTATGGATAAAGTGCATAGACTACATTGCATTCAGCTTGCTGTAACTGTAGTCAAACTTGTCAATGACATAAAGTGTTGGCACTGTTGGTAGTGATGATGTTTGAGTTGGTCAATTTTTTTACATTATTAAATTTCTATCAGTTTAGTGAACAGTGAACGGGTGAAGAATTGGAGATAGCTCAAACGATTCAAACTAATTATGACGAGCAAATCAATTGACATATAAAAGAACAGCTACAACATGTTTACAATACCCAGATTGTCCTGCTTTGCATGAACAAATACAAATCCATTGTTCTACAGAAGTTCCTCTGGACCCCAACTTCAATTTTACTTCATGTGGGGAAGATTTCAACGCTGAAGTTTGTAGATAAAGTGCAACATGATTAGCACGGAGGACTGCTTCTCCTTTCACTACTGGTCGGCTTTCTCCGTCTAAATAGAGCAAAATATCTGCCAAATGAACATCTACAACAGGCATTATTAGCGTTTTCGATTTAATATTGACAATTAATGTCAAGAAATTCAAAAACTTTTCACTCTTATCAGTACACAGTACACAAGCTAATTGCACTAATGCGATCGAATGAGGATTGAGTTTGTTTTCCCCCAGTTTTGACGTGGCTTTGACATGGAACGACGAAAACCGAGCGCCACCTGGTATATAATATAAGTATACGCCAAACACGATAAATGAATGAAATCACGAATGGTGGGGATGATAACTTGGCGGGATCATTGCCAGAGACTTTTTTCTTCCTAGATGTATTTTTCATTCCTGATGAATCGGAATTTCTATTAAAGTGTGTATGTATAATAATGAATATTTTTTTTCAATTGACTCGGCCGTTACTTGATGGAAATCCATGGCAAATATGAAAACGTCACTAACTATAAGATTTCCACAAAATTCTCGAACACACGACATGTTACGCTAACTCAGTAGCTTCATCAGGTGATATACTGGTACAAATGAACTAAACCAACCTTGGCCTGCCTAACTTTTATATACCCTCTACTATCCCAACCTGAAGGATTAGTTACCTGTGGGCCCGGGAACAGGTTCGATAAACCTTCATTTTCGGAAATTAGGCACAATATCTACATTAATATACGATGTACGGGATTAACTTGAAAGGTTTGATAGCAAATATATTACCTATTAAGAAAACAAATTCAACAGTGGTGTACTATTGAGGTCTAGTTGATCGTTAAGTAAAATGTCAGAATTTTTCAGTTTGTTGATTTCTAATGATTCAAAATGATTGAGTTTCATTCCTTTATTTTCTACGTGTAAAATTTCTAAATATATTATTGGCGTATGTTGAATGGATTAACTCTCACATATTGTAACATAATAATGCGTCATTTTGTAACGTCTCGGTGAGGTTATTCAATATTTTCAATATTTGAAACACGATTCTCTACGTACCTGTTGAATATCAGACCGAATCGAATCTTATACCTAGACAGACAAAGTCTGCTTATAATATTAGATGAGTAATCGAAATTACGAAACTGTACGCTGCCGCCATATTTGACTTGAATCAATTTATATTTTTCATTTTGTTATGTATCTTAAAATAACTGTTTATAATAATTATCAGTAGTCAATTCCAGACAATTATGTTGTTATGGGTGTATTATTATGTTTAGAAGTTTGATATAAGATGTTTTTTGCGACTCTCGAGCGGTTCAATAGGGGTTCCTCAGAATGTGATGTCTTCTCTGCAAAAGAAATGTGCAAAATTAATCACTCTTTTCAACCAGTATACTCCGAGCATGTAACTAAAAAGTAGAGAAACCAAACGTTTATCTGAAAAAAGGACATACATTGAATCATACATACGTCTAAAAAGTGAAAAAAACCGCCATCTAAGCGTAATGTATGCAAAGGGCCAGAAGGGCTTGAAGGAGCGTGAAAAAGCGTGAAGAACCCCATTTGTAGGCTCGTCTGACTGATGTCTCCAACGACACTCAGGCCTATACAGTGTGTCCATATTTAGTGCGTAATTCTTCGATATCTCCAAAGCCATAACCTATAGAAAAAAAACTTTGAAGGAAAAACTTCTTCAGTTACTCAAGTTGCTTATTTCAAAAATATTTTCAACATTACTGGGTGTTTTATAAAAGCGGGATGACTCGGAGACGAGTTTTTTTTAATGGAACACCCTGTATTGTTTATTCGGAATTTATTCCGCTGAGGTTTACCTTCACATCGCTGTAAAAAATATTGAAATCGGTTACGGCGTTGCCAAGTTATAATTGATAAATCTATTTTTACCACTATTGAAGAGTCATGTTGAATTGGGCATGGTATATTCATTTATTCAAATTATGAAAATATTTTTGGCATACGGTAGTAGCAAGGTCTCACGTATACAAATTCAGTAATTTTGCGACATGTTCTTTAACAGGGTGCTGTATTTCGCATTTAGAATTTCGCAAGATTCAGATGGCATTCATTAGAATTTTTCAAATGGAACACTTTGTATTTTTTTTTCACAAATTGATTCCGACATCTTTCACCTTTTTATCGCTGAAAAAAAAAATCATAATCGGCTGCTGCGTTGTCAAGTTATGGATAATTTCCGTATTTTTACTACTATTTCGGAGTATAATTTTTACGTCATAGTTCTTTCATTTAAATAATCAAATTTCTTCATTGACTATTCATATATTTTTTTACAATAGGAACATTTGCACGCTCTTCAAGTTTGAATTTAAAACAGAGTGGATTTGACAAATTGATCCAAAATGCTACTTTCACAGATTTTTTGCAGACAACGAATTACTTTTTCGAAGTACACTTCCATTATTCATGTAATGACATGTCAAACATCGTCACAATCAAATATATCTTGAATTCATTTAAAATTTTGCTGAATTCCCTCCCTAAACCCGCGTAGTAAACAAATATTGTTTGTATCATTATGTAGAGTTTGCCTCCTTCAAGTTTGATGGAGAATTGGTTTGTGGGAATAACGACAATAAAAGTGGTCCAAATTTCAAAAAATTGTCCTTATTCTCGCAATTCAAATCTCCATTGTTTGTATTGTAGAAGTTGTTTTAAAGGCAGGCGTTTTGCTTTTGGCATGTTTGTTTCACATAGGTACATATTATTTAAATCATAAGTAACAAGATTACGGAATATTTCAAATTTTGACAATGCTTATATCGCAAAGATACCTGAATGATCTATGTAGAACCTCGAATGTCATGTGGCAAGCAATATTCCCACAATCAAATCAAATAAAGGAACCATGTCTCATAAGTTGCCCTGAGATAGTGATGAACATAAGGAAATTACTCATAACTTGAAAACCCCGCAACCGATTTCAATTTTTTTTCAGCGATGAAAAGGCGAATGATGTCGAAATAAATCTGTGATGGAAAATGCAGGGTGTTCCATTTGAAAAATTCTAGTGAACGTCGTCTGAATCTTACAATATTCAGAGTGTAAATTTTAACACCCTGTGAAGGATAATCTCGCAAAATTACTGGATTGGTGTACGTGAGACCTTGCTACTACTGTATGCCAAAAATCTTCTCAAAATTTCAATTAATGAATATACCATACCCAATTCAACATGTCAACATGACCCTTCAATAGTAGTAAAAATGGGTTTATCAATTATAACTTGGCAAGGCCTCAACCGAATCCAATTATTTTCACAGCGATGTAGAGCTAAACCGTAGCGGAATGAATTTTGAATAAAAAATACTGGGTGTTCTATTTGAAAAAACTCGTCTCCGAGTCCTCCCGCTTTTATAAAACACCCAGTATTGTTGAAAATATTTTTGAAATGGAACCTTCAATAACGGAAGAAACTTGTTTCCAAAATTTTTTCTCTAGTGATAATGGATTTAGAGATATCGAAGAATTACGCACTAAAATGGACACACTGTATAGTGGCCCATTACATCTCACCTGAATTCCGTTATCAATTTTACTATATACGACTCATGGTGCTCATTATGGGCCACTTCAATATGAAGAATCTTTTTCGTTCCGGTTCCTGAAGATTATCCGATCCCTGTTCTCGTCAACGAAGAAGACCAAAAGTATTCCTTCTATCAAGACTGACGGGAAAAGAAGTTGGTCCAGCCCTGTGGTGCCCCCTGCTCAGGGCTAAGGCTGTTTACTCTGAAATGACGCCATGTTTCCCATAGGCGCCCCGTTAGCGACACCATATACCTTGGTGCCATTCATCCATCGCCACGGGTTCCCATAGCTTGGGTCAGGTAACCAGAGCCTCGTTGAACAGTCCTTGGCCACCTAGACAGATATCAGCAAATCGCCCCATCCTCACCACATATGTCCAGAAATAATTGTCCCATCTGGCCCGGAGATAGAAAAGATAACTGTCCGACTTAGCTGTAGACTAGGTGAAAACGAAGCGACCATATAGTGTTCCCTCATTGAAGGATATCTATTCTTTGGAATTCTCAATTTTGAAAGGATAAGAAAGTATGAAGAAGTGTGTAAATTGGTTGATACACGGTTGCTTTTCAAACAACACCTCTAACCTGGGATCTTTCCTCGTTCTTGTTCCACATTTTTGGGTTGCAATATCCTATTCGCGAGTAGTTCGTGGACTGCAATACTGCAGGAGCTGCCAGTCCCTGTCGTGCGCTCGAAAAGAGTTAAAAACATATTTTCCGCCTTCCGCTATCCAAAGCTCCAAAGTCTTACCTAGCGAGGAATAGAGAAAAATGACGCTATGGTACGTCATCAATGAAATATGACCTGAACTATATTCTATTCTACAGGGTTATTCTACACGAAGCATTGTATGGCTAAAGAATTTGGTTCTTTCACTTTTTTTTTTTCGAAAAATTAGGGACCTATCAGTTTCATATTTTTTAAAAAATGACTTGTTATTTGAGGAAGGCGGAAAAATGGTATGTAAAACATGGGTGTAAAGTGCCTTTTCACCCCTTGAATGATTACTCCTCGATGCGTGAGGAGAAGTTGCATTTTCCTCCCTTGTTAAACAAATAGCTATATAAATATACACGTTGGGAATGATCATTTCGTATTTTGTATTTAGCACGCTAGAAAGCGAATATTAACATGTCACTGAATATTTCCCCTGAAGATGAAAAATTGTGGTGATGATTCAATGTTTCCTTCACTATATAACTAACTATACGTATACTTCATTACCAAGGACTTTTATAAATATCTATACGAACAGATCCTGTAATTGAATAAAGGTAGTTGATGGGTCATTATGTGTACTCCCACTTGAATCGGTACTGTCTACCTTTTCTTGAAGCCCAAGACAAAGATGTTTGGTAGGTAGGTACTCGTACCCATAAAAAGTTCCGCGCCTTCTTTCGATTTTTATTATAACCATCAGTCTCAATGCGACATTCTTATAATTTTCAGAGTTACTTTAGGATTTTTAATATCTAAGTTTGAGATGTTGTGGAGGTGGTTTTGTATTTTGTTGGTGTCCTGTGAGTTGGAATCTTCGGAATCTAGGCTTTGGGATGGTCTCATCCCTTGGTATTCAGGATCAAGTAGGTGAAAATTACAGATCATTCATAGTGATTTTGTTTGCCAGAAACGAAATGAAAACGTGAAAATTAGATGTACGATAGCAATAACAAGTTGAATAAAATAGTACCAATTTACGTAACAAATCTGGAAAATATTGTTTTTTTGGACGGGTCGACAAAATTTTAGGCCGAGCCGTAGACGAGTCCTGATGGAACTCTGCGAGTCCAAAAAAACTGTGTTTGGAGGTGTTAGGTGCACTAATTTTTCCATGTAGAATAGCAAATATACAGGGTGTTAACAAATAAGTGTCACAACGGGAAACTATAGATTGCTCATGACACGCGAAACATTTTTTTTCCTTTCGAAATTTTCCTCCGGGCATCCGTTATCAAGATACAGGGCGTCAACAAAATACAGAAAAATCTGTTTTTTGCTACTATCTCAGGAACCGCCTGAGCTACGGAGTTGAGCCTTCGTACACGCTTCGTCATCAATAATGACTACTTTTAGGGCTCTTGATCAATTTCCTTGGACATGTCAGTGGAGAAGAATTCAACGCCTCGTAAGGGTTTAACCCCCCAAACATTTATGCCACAGGAGAAATTTTAATTTTCAAAGTAGATTCTGAAGCGCCAATATCTTTCACACAAAAAACATCCTCTCTAAGTTTATTTAGTGTTGTAAAGTGTGTTTATAATCTTGAAAACGGAAGCACGGAGAAAAATTTTGAAGAGGTAAGAAATGTTTCTTTCATCATGAGGAATCTACAGTTTACCGTTGTGACACTTATTTGTTAACACCCTGTATGAGACACATTTCCATATTATATTTATAGAATTTCGTCTTTATTAGTTCTTATTTGTATCAAATACTGAAATTTGAATAGAATACCTTTACCTACTAACTATTAAATTGGAAATTTCGTATGGACATTTTGGAACTCACTATCTCAGGTGCTTCCGATAGTTCATTAATATAACTGCAACCAAACTTTCAAGAATCAAAATGTCAACTAATTTCTTGTCAAATAGCTGTCAGCCAATATTTCGCTGCTATGGTAATTATCATCTGCATTTATCAAAACCATATCTACCAAGATTTCCATAGTTACATCAGAGACAACAACGATATGATACTTCCCGGACTCCCGGCCTAGTCCGGGAAGTACGTACTTCCCGGACTAGACCGGAAAATGCTACTTTGTCAAAGAAAAAGCGTCCGGGAAGTGAGCGAGAAGAGTTCATAAACGCGTTACAAACTATACTTTTTCTACGAACTCATAATTTGACAAGATCCCTTAATTCCGAAAATTAGATTCACCTACCTGCTCTAACCTACAAAAAGGAAATGGTAATTGAGAACTACATTTCACTATGGAACTGCATGTAACCAACGAGACAAGTATAAGTGATATTGGTTGTATATAGATGTATCTAGTCCAGGCCATTAGATACATATCAAAATGGCTTGCTCAATAACCTTTGTGAATAAGAACGTTAGAGATAAAGATGAAATTCTCAGGTCTTAACTGTTTTAGGAGTAAAATAACACCGTTCAATCACCTCTCGCAAAGACTATTGTCGTGTCGTCAAGAAAAAATTTAAAGACACACATTCATCAATATTGAAAAAATGAGAAATTATTTTATATTCGTATATACAACCTGGACTAATTCTATCTTAATTTACAATCACCGAAAGGGGCTATTAAAGATACTTGTTTCTTTCTGAACAACACATTGGACAGGAAAATATTAGTTCAGAATACTTGCATATACTTCTAGTGTGCCTAGTTCAGTTCGAATCATAAATAGAGTTATTCGTTTTCGTGAAACCCTCTTATGAGACAGATCATTAAATAATTTCTTGTTTGAGACTGTTTCAACGTTAGGATACCTTTATTGAACTGAAATTGCATAAGGTGTTCAGTATACAGTATACAGTCTTAATAGTAAATAATAACGGATTCAATATTTTGGAGAATATTTCGTTTCTGTTGAAATATATTATTCAATTGACCATCGATTCGTTTTTCTGGTTCATCGGATATTATCTTCAGGCAGTGGCGAAATATTCTCAGAAATATTGACATACTCTATTGATTTAGATCGGTTTGAATTGCGGAACGCTCGAATATTCGCGATATGGAAGTATGAACGGAATGACGGCAAAACAAATCGCCGTATCGCGAATTGGACCTAAAAATTCGGGGGTTGCACAGGTAGGCTTTTAGATCTATCATTCAGTTGGTATCATATGGCATTCTTAAATATGTCATATCGTCATCAGATGACGATGGTCAAAATTTGCAGCCTTTATACAAGAATTAAGGGGTGAACAAATAAACCACTCAACCAAGAATTTTTGTTTCGCAGAATGTAACTGCAACGGCCACTCAAACCGCTGCTTTTTCGACCAAAAACTGTACGAGATGACCGGTCACGGCGGTCACTGCTTGGACTGCACAGCCAACCGAGATGGCCCGAACTGCGAAAGATGTCGCGAACACTACCGCATGCGAGATGACGGTTTCTGCGTGCCCTGCGATTGTGATCCGGTCGGCTCTAGGAGTCTTCAGTGCAACGCAGAAGGAAAGTGCCAATGCAAACCTGGAGTAACTGGAGATACATGCGACAGGTGAGTTGATTGACATAAAACTTCACTCTCAATGCAAAATCATTTTCATATAATATCCGTTACAAAATAGGTCGAGGAATTGTTGAACAACTCACGAAGGGCATTTGATAACCAAAAGCATCATAATATTCTGATACCTTTGAGGAAACGATGAGATTACTATAATCTTTTGTAGAAATCTCAACGTTTGTTGGGTATATCGCATTTTCAACTGATTCCATCAAGTAACAGCCGGGTCAATACAAAAATAAACTGATAATGAACTACGAAATAGCCACAATGCTCACAGTGGAATGAAATAGTAAATAAATGTGAAAAGCTCACAGTCATTTCCACCCAGTGTTCATAAAATGAACAACAATGGTAGATTTCGGGAGAAAAACAACTACTTCCCTGGCTAATGCCACGCAGGATATTGAATTACATCCTCCCGAAATCTATGCATCGACTCGTTTAAACGAATACTGATACAAGTGATTCTTTCCTGAATGCCTATTGATTTCGATTAAGCCAGGCCGCTGGACAAGCACAGACCGGTTTCGAGCTCTTTGACTCTCATCAGTGCAGTGTAGTCTTCAGCCAGCAGTCCTAAGACCGCCGACTCAGCGAAGCCTAGCCAAACAAAAATCAAGTTGGCATTATATCCACCCCGAGGCGTCTTTCATCGATAAAATGAAAGTAACGAACGAAATCTACCATTGTTGTTCATTTTATGAACACTGGGTGGAAATGACTGTGAGCTTTTCACATTTATTCACTATTTCATTCCACTGTGAGCATTGTGGCTATTTCGTAGTTTATATCACGCCAGTCGGGCTGCCAGCCACTCCCGTATGGGAATTTCAGTTTTGGAGTGATTCTTTCCTCGGTTCTACTCAGATGGCGTTACTTTTATTTTATCGATGAAAGACGCCTCGGGGTGGATATAATGCCAACTTGATTTTCGTTTGACTAGGCTTCGCTGAGTCGGCGGTCTTAGGACTGCTGGCTGGAGACTACACTGCACTGATGAGAGTCTGTGGTTGTCCAGCGGCCTGGCTTAATCGAAATCAATAGGCATTCAGGAAAGAATCTCTTGTATCAGTATTCGTTTAAACGAGTCAATGCATAGATTTCGGGAGGATGTAATTCAATATCCTGCGTGGCATTAGCCAGGGAAGAAGTTGTTTTTCTCCCGAAAATCTACCATTGTTGTTTATTTTATGAACACTGGGTGGAAATGACTGTGAGCTTTTCACATTTATTCAAACTAATAATATCCGCTGCCAAATTTGATTTCTATATGTCCTTTATATTTTTCGTGCATAGTCGAAGGTGTCCATTCTCCAAGTTCACCATTGAAAACAATCATGAAACTTTCATTTTTCTTGGGCTATCCCAATGGGACTCGAATAGATTTCTGGGATTGAGTTTGATTTTCAATGATCGAAACAAAATGTTGTGAACCTATTCATATAAATCACATGTGATTGTGATAAGATTAGTTTGCAGAAAAAACGTTCAGATACACAACTTGTAGTAGAATCAATAGTAGGTAGAGTAGTATTGTGCGGAGACTACTGATGGCTACTGTAGGCCCTCATGATCCCTATTTCGGTAACCCCTGCTCTCAACATATTCTATCTACACATCCTTATCTTAGTTGTCCTTTCCGAACCTCACTGACCTGCTGATGAGGGCCAGGATGTCCGTCTACTCCAAGGTCTACTCTAATCCTATCCTATTCTATTTTATTCACCCTGAAGGTTTCGAAGATTGAATCCATTTATACGCCTCACACTCTCCGAGGAAGTGAAGTGACATTTCCTCGTCTTCTTCGCATTTACGGCAAGCAGTCCTATCTTCTACACTCATTATTAGGGATAGGTGCAACCTATTGTGTCCTGTCAGTACCCCTATGAAGAGGCGCAGTACTTGCTGGTACCTTCCATGTCACCATGCCGTCTTCGACTTGCGCCGTCTTCGACTTGCTTGGACCAGCCACCAGGTTGTTTATTGCCTGCAGCTGGCTATAATATTCCTCCAATGTTTTCCTAGTGTTTTGCAATTCCCAGTGAAAGCTCCGGTCCCCAGAACGGTGTCGCGGGTTCGGTTCTAGCCAGTTCGTCTGCTACTCCATCCTCGGGCACCTCCTTCTGACTCGGAACCCATACTAGTTCGACTCACTTCAGTTCAGATAGTTCATCAAGAGCATCATTGCATTTCTGCATCAATGCTCAGCTTGATTCGTGCTGGAAGATGGCTTTGAGCGCTGCTTGAATACCCTAGCAGATTTAAATCTTCTGCTCTGGTCCCTCTTTCGCCTTTTGTCTGTCAGCTTAGAACTGCAAATTTTTCTCCTGGAGTTACCTGCGACAAGTTGGTTTCTCATTGTGACAGATTGCCTTGACCATCAAATGCGAAAATGTTCTATCAAGATGTTGAACTATCTCATTTTCTCATATAAGATTCGTTGAAATTACCGCAGTGGAATCATCATACATAAACCATAGACAGGATTAACAATTAGACACTTGACACAGGTGAATCAGCCATTTATATTGATAGAATCATTGTGTGTGAGATCATTACCCTATCTGATCTCGAGACAGATAAGTGGTGGAGAGAATTATTGTAAATAAACCTCACAGAGGCATCAACAAACCAATTCAGAGACTAACATATAGGTAGGAAAATACTTCTAAAAATCATTCAACTAACCAAACAGTAATTCTAACTTGTTGTGAACTTGAATGTTTGCTAGAGTGCATGAGTTTTGCAATCTAAACTACATCGTGATTTGTTAATTCCATGGAAAACGTGTCAATATATCAGCGAGATAAATGGAAACTGTTATCGCAGGTGTGACGAGAATTTCTACGATTTTTCTGCGACCGGATGCAAAACGTGCGGCTGCCACTCTGCCGGGTCCATCAACAACGAGCCGAGCTGTTCTCCCCACACAGGAGTCTGCGCCTGCAAGGAGAACGTCGAGGGCAAGCAATGCAGCGAGTGCAAGCCCGGTTTCTTCAACCTGGATAAAGAGAACCACTTCGGTTGCACCCCTTGCTTCTGTTACGGACACTCCGCCGAGTGTACATCGGCCCCACAGTACTCGAAGTACCTCTTGGAGTCATCGTTCTTCAAGAGCGCGGAAAGGTAAATTGTACTATTTTAAAATAATGTTTAATTCTTATATCCTTCGAATCATGGAAACCATACATATTTCAAAGTGGTCCAACTGATTTTTATAAGAAAAACAATCAAGTCCCAAAGTCTGTCGACCACGGAGAACTATTTAATATAGGTAGTGTAACTCGTTTAGGCCACAGGCCATCATCAGACACAAAAATGATGTATTCAGAAGTACCTACAAAATTGAAAAGGGATATTCTCAGATATATTTATGAACACAAAAAAATGGATATATACAAGGTGATTTTGAAATAAGTGCACATATTCTGCAGATTTTTTGTAATTCTTCTAACTAACGAGAGATTCCATCCCAAAAATTGAACAAAATACGAGAAGAATATCGAGTACGCCACTTTGAAAAAATTCAAAAGATTGAACTCGGCATGATTGTGCCTACCGCATGGAAATTTGAACAGAGTTGACGTCAGATTTGCTACAGTGTAGAACTTTGGGTGGAAAAAAGGATGTAACCCCAAATTTCACTTTGATCCCTAATTTTTTTTTCAATAGTGCCATTCGATAATATACGTCGAGCTTACATCCCAACAAGGACAACCTTGGTAGTGGGAGTGATATTGAATACTAATTATAATAAGATCTAACCTAATATACATAATTACATATTACATATTTAATGGTAATGATCTAATGATGATGAAATTGTAATAATGAGGGTGAAAGTAAGTATATGGAATAATTTACGGAAATAGTATTTCTTACATCATATTCAGAGAATTGGTCATAGTAGACGAATCACCAAAAGGCAAACCTTGTGGGTAGTGAAATATGTCTACTTATACCATGACCCTTGACATATGATATGACCTGGAAATACTATCACTATACTACTTCTACAATATATATGTGCAAATACAAGTGAAAAAAATCTTCCGAGATGATTTTTTGTTTTTATATATTATTTTCAACATTGTAAATTATGGTATGAATTTTTTAAATCTATATGATGATGGATGAAGAGTCGTGGATGTTGGCTTATCCATTGTTTCATTTTCGATTTGAATAATTGAGTGGAATTGAATTGCTTATAAAGACATACATATAATATCATTCTGAATATCCAACAGAAAACAACTACTTTCCGGGCTATATGCTACGACGAACATTGAAGTATATCTATTGAACACACACGATAAGAATTTGAAAACAAACTCTTCTAAAGTAGAGAATTTGCATTCTCCTTTATATAACGATATACATATAATATCATTCTGAATATTCAACAGAAAACAACTACTTTCCGGGCTATTTGCCACTTCGAACAATGAATTATATCTGTTGAATATCCAAAAAGAGAGCATATGAAAAATCAAAATCCTCTGAAATTGAGAACTGACATTATCTCTCAAATCGAATAGAATAATATGATGTATTATGATATAAAAATATAACTTACCAATATGTTCAGTATTGAAATGAAAATTGAAATGTATAGGGGAAGTATACCTTGTATGAACTCTGATATTGATGAGCTTGGAACTTCCAAAAAAAAAATCAGTCGTATCAGTGATATGGGAATTTTATCTCTCACAAACAGGTTATATATAACTACACTCGAGTAAAACTCATTTCGGATATCATCATATTATAGGGAGATTAAAATTGTGCATGGATATCATGAAGAATGGCTGAAACAATAACTGGACTTCAGGTTACTGATGATGATGTGATATCCGAAATACATCGTACATCCAAAAATACCTGAAAGATAATCATGAACATTGTTGAGGAGTTAAAAAAGAGTCAAAGAGTCGATATACTGACCTCAGCAATACATATAAAGAGCAAAAAAATCAAAACAAAAACCCAAGGTTGAATCTCAAAATATCAGTCCTGAATATTAAATCGGTTCAAATCTAGAAAAAGTCCAGTAAAACCAGATCAGCATTATATTAATGGAGAGATACATTAGCACAATTTATCAAAACAATTTGAAAAATTCTCTCACGTGAGATTCATCAGGTTATGCAAAATGCAAATGGAAGCTAAGACGGAATTCGAAGAAACAGAAACATCATAAATCACATGAAAAGTAAAACATGACAAAGAACACGTGACACAAAGCAACGTCAATAACACATGACATTCAAATAACAATTAAATTAAGTGATGACACAGAATCATGACAATGACGATAGTGACACCAGTCAACGTCCATGATGCACAGCACAGCCTTTCGTTGTCGACCATAAAATATGTCGAACATCTCTTAACCAAAACTCGTTCGTCTATAGAACTCAATGCTCTGGAATGTAAATATACCCAAGAACTCACAACCTCCACCTCCTCTCCCTATCCTCCCTAGGTAGATAAGGAAAATATTAAAATGTTTTTCTATTTCAATGAAGATGATTATCATTATTATTATCAAGGTGGTCTGCAGTCGATGAATACGAGAGGAAGATTGACACTAAGTATGACGCGCTCACTCAGAGTATAGGAGTGCAAGCTGTTGGAGACGAGGCGATCTATTTTGTGGCTCCAGAGCGATTTTTGGGCGACCAGAGAGCTTCATATAATCAGCTCTTGGAGTTTTCTTTAAAGATTGGGGATAATAGACCGGTGCCGACTGCTGCCGACATCATCTTGGAAGGAAATGGCATGTCTGTCACGAATACGATATTTGCTCAAAAGAACAAGATTCCAGCTCTGCAGGTACGCAATTTTTTCGTTCCTGTATCTTACTTACAGAGTGTAGTTTTGCATGATACAAAGAAGAATCACTATGCGTGCCTAGCTGTCGTCGTGGTATGAAAGTTTGCAAGAAACTTGTTAATTCGATCATTGAGATATAGATGTATCAACGAAGGCCAGAGGTCCAGGGTTCAAATCCTGTTCCACATACTTTTTTTTTTAATTTTCTTCGTGTCAATAATTGAAGAAATTGTTTTCTCCACAACTATAACACAGGATTGCTCTTGTTTTACTGTGTTCGATACATATCAATGAGGTACTTTGTATGTCATGAATGTCATTTCCGTATCTGATATCACAATGCCTCCTTTGTGTTATTATTGAAAAAAACAACTCATCGCCCATGAAATGTAAAATTTTGAGCAATGATAGCTCTGTTTAATAGATGAGCATTTCTTGACAGGAAATCAGATAGCTAAAAGACGAGAGACGAGAAATCTAAAATGCTACTGTTATCTAATATAGCCTTAGAAAAATCATAGTGTATAACTTGCACGGAATTTCTTTGGTTCATGCTGCAAACTCCATTCTCATAAGAAATCACAATCATTCCATGCTCGTTAAACAATGTACTAATTTTTGCAGGATCGAACTTGCGGGAAGCGTTTGTTCGAGCCATTGTCGATCTAAATGAAAACCTAGTATATAGGCGACCTAGTGCGAGGAGGTATTATAGCTCCTGCCTACTAACTACCTGAACCTAACTAGGTTGTCATCTAGAACGACAATGGTTCGAAACTTAATATATTGACAAGTAGTAAAGTGAAACAATGTCTCAGGCCAAAGATGGTATATGCTCACATGATTGCGTGTGTAACAATATTTCTTGAATTATTCCACAGATACAGAAATACCGATTCAGGCTTCACGAACATCCTGACTACGGTTGGCAGCCAAGACTATCACCGAGGGCTTTCATATCCGTTCTCACCAATCTCACATCTATCAAGATCAAGGGAACATACACCCCACAAGGTGTTGGTTTTCTCGACGAAGTTAAATTAGAAACAGCTGCTAGAGGAGCTGCTGGAGAATCAGCTTTGTGGGTCGAAGTTTGTAGCTGTCCTTCAGGTAATCATTTTTGGAATCTTCTCTATGGTACATTCATAATCTTAGTTAATAATCTGCAAGTTGCTTCATCCATAAAACTACCCATGTGGTGTAGGTGCTGTCTAAAGCTGTGTCCTATACAACTATAGAATATAAGCAGTCAGAGCTTCTGATTTTTGCTCATCTTGCTGTTTCTTCAACTTTATTCACACGACTCAAATGGAAGATGAGCACTCAGTATGGCCACTCAGTCCACTAAGTGCGATGATTTCACGTGTAGAAGTTTCTGCCGCAGTTCGATGTCACACAGTGCGGATGTTCAGATGTTCTGATTTCTATTTCAGGTTATGTAGGCCAGTTTTGTGAATCCTGCGCTCCCACATTCAGACACACACCATCTTCTGGAGCACTCGAGAGCAGACCCTTTATGACGTGTATACCATGTGACTGTAACAACCACGCAAACATTTGCGACTCAGAAACAGGGAGATGTATCTGTAATGATCACACTACCGGAGAGAATTGTGAGCTTTGCGCGAGAGGATTTTATGGAAATGCATTGGGAGGTAAGCTGACATTATCATCATCATCATCATTAGTCCATATATGTGATATATATCTGAGAAGAGGGTACTTACTTTTTTGGAAAGTGACATTGTATAACCTGTCAACAGATGAAATGTCAAACTTTTTTCCCGTCACAGAAAAAATGCATTTGTAGTTGTGTGTATGTGGCAATATGCAATGTACTTTTTTCTATGTCACCCTGTATTTAATGGAATAAATTCAGAATTCGCATTCTCTTTGTGATGAATAGATAAACTCTTCATCGATATATTCAACAGAAAACAACTACTTTCCTGGCTTTTTGCCACGGCAAGCATTGAATTATATCTGATGAACATTCAAAAAGAAAACATGAAAATAAAAAATTCTCTGAAATTGAGAAACGAATAAATAATATGATTTATATAATGATTTGTAAATATAAGTTACCAATATATTCAGAATTGAAATGAAAATTGAGATGTATAGGAGAAGTGTATCTGTATAAACTCTGATCATGATGAGTTTGAAATTTCCAAAAAACATTCGTATCTATGATATGGAAATATTATCTCTCACAAACAGGAGATATGACTTGATTCGAATCAACTCATTTCAGGTATCAAACCCTCCTCAGTAACATGAAATTATTATTTTAGCTATTCTTCATGAAATAACCAATTTTCATCTCATCTGGACATTTTCTTTGGATGTATTCATCATACAGGGCGTGGAAAAAAATTCTGAATTGAGAAAATAACCCAAACCGGTAAAGAGTTGATATATTCATCACAAAGAGAATGTGAATTCCCAAAGTATGTCTTCAAATATATCCATTTTTTCATATTTATAATATATATGAGGATAATCCTTTTTTACGGCTATAACACAAAATTGCTCTTGTTTTACTGTGCTCGATACATCAATGAGGTACTTTGTATGTCATCAATTTTATTTCCGATATATCTGATATCACAATGACTCCATTGTGCTATTATTTGCAAAAAACAAACTCCTCGCCCATGGAGCTGCCCAGTGAATTATCGATATTTCTCGACTGCCAATAACAGACTGTCGGCACGTTATAGTACTTGTGACATCAGTAGCGCTGATAATTTTCCGTCGTGTAATTCCGTTGTGGAATTTTCAATGAAAACAATAGTATGCACTCTCAGGGCACGGGGCTCTTCATTTATTGAGAACCTGTTTCTTCATTAACATTTATTTTGAATTCTTTGCTGTGGGTATTGACAAAAATTCTAGAAACAGTAGCATCAAAAATTCTTTCAGCTCCAAACCTTTGATAGTCTTTTATATGACCAAAACATGTCCCTTATGAATATGTAACAACATCATTAAAATTTGTGGAGTTCACTTCGAGCATTCCATCTTTCCTGTGTCATAATATTTTCACTAGAAATTTGTGTGTTCGCATATTTCAAGAATGTAAGAACAAAGACTGTGACGACACACCATTGGTCTAGTCGCTGGGGCAAGTAATATTCAGTTTCAATGAACAAAAACAGCATTTCTGAGATATTTGTGGATATTTCAACCATCAAACTATGTTTATAAGCCCTAAATCTACTGATTCCAGACGATACTTAAATTTAGACACTACCTATTGGAAAATTGCAAATTATAAAGTTGTAAAAAAAATTGTAATATTTTTTTATCCGTCATTTGGTTGCCCCCTTGCGAGCAACGCTCAGAACGTTACCACCGATACAACAAGGCCTGCATGCTCCGTGGGTGACGTCACTTAGTCAGGACTAATCAGCGGCTCGAAACAACAAGCGCTTATAGCGCTATAAGGCGACCGCGTATTTCGATTTTAGTTTTAGATCATCATTGAGCCGATTTTGCTGTTTTTTGAAGGGCTTCCGGTTAAAAAAGGATGCCAGTCGTCAACTGAGCCCTTCTTCGCACCCCATTCGAAAAATTGTGGAGAAGGTAAACTTCACACCTACTTATACAGGGCCCGCAGAACATAAACTTATCGTGAGATCGATCGAAAGAAAATTGTGGAAAATGTATTTTATTCTGATTGACATGCCGTTTGTTACAATTACCTATATTTATTTCGAAGAATTCCTATTACCTGAAAAAATAACCAGTGAGTGTTTTCAATTTTCTGTTGTTGGATTTTTCACCCAAGTGGATCGTTACACTTGAAACCGTAATTTTTAAGGGTAAAACTGCATTTATCAGGCGATGGTTTTTTTTTGAAAATTTTTTTCGGTACTCACGTATTTTTGTCTGATAAACCGAATTTTATAATGAAAATGTGAACAAACCACTATTCATTGGGATATTTCAAGAAAAAGTTCGAAATTTCGCCTTCTTTCTCCCCTTGTGTTGGGGGCATTTGAAGCTACTTGCTCTTATTTTGTCATTGGACACTTTATATACTCATGATGTACTTCGATGGCACATTTTTATATAGAAAATTCAACAGGAAATATGATTTTTATGGCGAGTTTTTCATATTTAGTGAACAAGCATTCCAGATGACGACCATTTAATCAATAGTCAATCAAAATACGAGATATCAAATGTCAATAGATTGCTTTCGAATGACATTACACACGCCATTATTTTGATTTGAATGATATTCTTCCTTCTTTTCACTAAATATGGATCAATCTCAAGAAAATCATATTTATAGTTGAATTATATATAAATTGTCCAATATGATGAAAAAAGAAGGGAAATTTGTTCTAAATGCCATCCAGAAGACAGGTGAAAAAGAAGGTGAAATTTGGAACTTTTCAGTCAAATATCTTCATGATAAATATCATGATAAATGTAGTTTTACCTTTTTTGAGTAGAGTGTTTGTAGTTCATGTTAATATGATAGTTGCAATTTGATCATTGGAATGAATTCTGCATTCATTGCCATGCACGAGGCAAATGACCGTTTTCAGAATTTGAGAATGAGAATTAAAAATGCCCGTTTATTATGAACATTCAAGAAAATTTCCTCGAATTCAGAGATGATTTTGTTGACTATAATATACGAATACAAAACTAACTGCACAATCAAAGCTTTTCTATTTTTCCTCTACTTATACTTTGTAAAGGTTCTGAGCAATCAGATGCGAATATCAAGGTCCAAACAGTTTATTTCCAAGATAAGTTCGAGTTCTAAAATTTACATAAACATAATACCTTTATACAGAAAATGGGCAAATCCCACATACCTAAATCAGGGACACTTCCTCACCCAGTAAAACTGAATTGGGAGATCCCCCCAGGGATTCAAAATCTCGCACACAAATCTTCGAAACGTTGATATAACAAATTTCGTTATTGATATCTCTATTTATACGTTTACCTGACAACGAGGCTTTGTTTCCCCAAATCACATTAATAAAGCATGTTCCTGAATTCTTGAATTCTGTTACAACTTTTTATGAGAGAGTAATTGTCTTCTATTATTAATTCATCATTATAAATTAAGCTCTGTTAACTACTGAACTTAGATACTTAGATGGAGTAAAATCCTCGCGGTGAATTGCATATACTTACCCACATTTTCGATAGCTCCTCGTCCAACGGGAAACTAAAAGCATGAACTTTTGAACCACCCACATAATTCTCCCGACAAATGGGAACACAAAACTTGAAAGGTATTGTTATTTCGCCGATCACAACACAAAATATTTCACAAAACAGTGATTTTTCCGCCAATTATTTTGATGAATAAACAACAAAAGAATTCGGGACTGTTTCAAAAACATACGTGAATCACCGATGAATTAACACGAACTGACGCGTTAGTCGACAAGCGATAAAATAAAACACTGGCCTCACTTGGTGACGTCACGAGCTGTTTACGTCAGAGTCTGCTGGCCTTGTTGTATCGGTGGTAACGTCAGAAGTCTTCGAGAGTCTTGTGCGAGCAAAGAATGACGGGGGCCTTACCTTGTGACGTGTGATCCCAAATACTTTCTTGGGCCATCAGAAAATTTATGCAGTCGCCGGGAATTGAACCCACGACCGGCAAGCGGATGCGAATTGAAATACTGACTCTCTGTTCGCATGGCTACGCGCCCCCCCCCCCCCCCCAAATTAACGAGGTTATTTAAATATTTTCTATTTTGATTCAGGGACTCCCGAAGACTGCCAGCCCTGTGGATGTCCAGAAGGTGGTGCATGTATCCAGATTGATGAAGAGATCACCATGTGTACCGAATGTCCGACAGGATATACGGGTCACAAATGCGACGTGTGCTCAGATGGCTATTACGGAGACCCTACCGGAAGATATGGTCCGGCTAGGTCGTGCAGAGAATGCGAATGCAACAACAACATCGATCTGAATGCCATAGGAAACTGCAACACTACTAGTGGAGAGTGTCTGAGATGTATTCATAATACTGGTGGCGATAGGTGTGAAGTTTGTCTATCAGGTAACTATTTATAAAGATTACTTTATTACTTTATTTCTGGAAATTTCCAATTTCGAATGATGAACCAGAGTCTATAATGTTCTCGTTTCGTGATTTATAAGTGAGTTATTTTTGGGATTCACCAGTTGAAATTTGGTACTTTAATAAGAAAATACCTAACCTAACAATAATAAAAATTGATGAAACCCCGATTGTGCTTTTAGGTTGAGTATATTTGAAAAAAAATCAACCCGGTATGTTATCTTGGGCTGAATTTTCCGGTTAAGATGGCATGGTAATGCCATCTTGCCCAAACTAAAGTTACTTGAACTAAACTATTATAATATTGGTTCAAATTGTCGAGGTTTATTCAATAACGAACAATGACGGCTAGACATCTAGACTGAATAACCCGTCAGACAGTCTAGATATCTAGCCGTCATTAACTGAACTTAACAGAACTTCAAATTATGAAAAACACATATTGTGGAATAGCGCATAGTGGTTGAACGCTCGATTAGCAATCGGAACAACGAAAGGTTGCTAGGTTCGATCTCCGGCAGAGCATATATGGACTTTTTATTCATGAAACGAGTTATAAATTCTAATTTTCGTAGCCCCGGCCGGAGACGATTCCGCAGGATTCACTGTTGCGTTCCAATTAGCAGTTCTGTTCCCGAGGTAGCATATGGAATTAGTAACATAGCCTACACAGAACAGGCATGGGCTGTGAGACCTCTCGTAAGGTCGATGGCCAGTTGGTATATACATACATACCAACAAAGTACATATACCTACTCACTCACTTAGTAAAACACGAAAATATTATTGATGAAAAAGAGTCAACTCTGAACAAAGTAGGGAGTAGGTACCTATATAAGCTGAAGACAAAGTTCACATACTGTCGTGCTTCTCAAAAGTGCCCTCTTCCCCTCTCATCTTTTGGCACGATTTTACATAAACCAGTGAATACAGGGTATGTCACGACAAGCTTACACTATTTCTATATCGAGAATCAGTCGAAAGAAATCCATGAAAATATGGATGCTTATATTTCAGAATACGCTTACTTCATTTGAAATATTTTCAGCAATGTAGTGTTATCGTTTCTACTAGAAAGTACTAGCAACATTGATATTTCAAATGAAATACCCTGTATTTTATCGCATTTTTAGATTCTTCCTGCAGGGCTGATTTTATCTATATATCACACTTGGTCACTATCGAAAAATAATACAGAGATATAGGGTGTTCAAAATCGAGATTTTTCAATTTTAGGATTTTTTTGTGTCAAAATTATTCATTATCATCTCAACTTTCGATTCACTATTCACTGATATTCAATCGGAACAGATATACAGGGTGGTTCAAGATTCAGAATTCTGATGACCCGCTGTATCTGTTCCGATTAAATATGAGTAAATAGTGAATCAAAAGTTGAAATAGGGTTATGTGAGTCGTTTTGGCCGATAATAAACAGTTTGGACACAAACGAATCCTAAAGTTGAAAAATGTCGATTTTGAGCACTCTATATTTCTGTAATCATTTCCGGTAGACCCCAAATGTGATGTATCGATGAAATCAGCTCTTCAGGGAGAATCTGATCATGCAATAAAATACAGGGTATTTTATTTGAAATAATAGGCAACACTGCATTGCTGAAAATATTCCAAATAAGGAGAGCCTATTCTAAAACAATAAGAATAATGCACTTGTATATTTTCATGGATTTGTTCCGGCTGATTCTCGAATTAGAAATAGTGTAAGCTCGTCGTGACATACCCTGTATACTGCTTTGTTTTGAAGGAGCAACCTGAACATTCGCAGTGGGCCTATTTATTACGTAAGGGCGAGTTGGCATATTATGCCAACTAACCCGAAACTATAATATGCCAACTCGCTCGAAATAGTTTTATGTATCAAGGGCGTATAAAGAATGCGTTTATGGCCTGCGGCCTGAATAATGTCCCGATGGCGTTAGCCGAGGGCCATTACACGCCTAGTGGTCACTAGTGGTCACAAATAATGACTAGATTTCAACAAACTAGAATTTTTTTTTTTCATGTTCTGGTTCCCACGAAAAGGGATATCCTGTAATGTCCAGATTTCAAGAGAACCGCAATGTTTATGTGTATGATTTACAAATTGAAATAATCGTACGAATATGGCAATTATCGTAAGAGTAAAACTCTTTGTTGACTAACAGAGTAAAACTCTTTGTTGACTAACAGAGTAAAACTTTTTGTTCGCTAACAGGGATTCATTTTTTGAGATTTAACAATATTTATACTCAGTATATATAGCTGATGATTTGCCCTAACATGTCACTGCGTTTAAAGAATGTTCCTATCAGAGAGCCTAAAAGAAAAAATCACTAGCTTGTCAAGGACAATTTGTATTGAAAAAAGTTTGGAGAAGAGAAATAAAGGTTTAAAGAGAAAATATCGAATTTTCACTTATTTTTGGATGTTTCGGGAACGAATCTGCTCTCGTTTTCAACATTAAAAATGATTCATTATTCCAAATTTTTTGTGATTTTCTCTCCTCGTTTCTATAAAATGAAAATATGAATATTATTTCAATAGCAAAGTCGTATCTGTCTTGAAGCTTTTCAGTTTTCAGTGACAATTGGTGACGTTGGCAATCAAATGAATTACAGGATGTTTTCATTAATTAATCTTGAATATACCATTTTTATGTTCAGATTCCAGTAGTGAATATCATGTTCTGTCTATATCAACTGAACGAGAAGCGATGCTTTTGTCTCCGTTCAAAAGAATGCAAGCAGATTCCTTGATTTTTCTCTTCTATGGATATGTTCAGCTAGTTTTGATTTATCGATGTGTCTTTTCTTTATATTGTACTTATGTTCCTTTGTAGACACAGTTCATTTCAGGTATATATATAGGGTATGATACATAAATTTGAATCAAAATCATGAGAGGAATATAAAAATGTTGAGAAATTTGACAATAACAAAAATAGACGTCACTTCCGGAAATACCGGGAGCTTCACAATAACGAAAATATCTTGGTTGGATTCTTCATGTTTCCTCCACCGTCCTTACAAATTTTCAGAATTGTGCTACTTTCAGTTCTCCATATACATCGTGTTAACTCATGGAGATATATACCCTGTATAATTATTCGAAAAAGTCTATAGGCCTGCGCTGATTCCCAGATTTCAATCATTGTTATATCTAGGTAGTTTTTCTCAATATAACATGTACGTAATTAACTATTCTGATGTGAAATGAGATTAATTTTCAATAAAATCGAGTTGCCTTGTGAAACCTTTGATTGATCTATTTGACAGAGATTCGAGACCGATTAGTCCCATGATTAGTCCTTTCAATTGAATACCTTCACCAATCTAGATGTGATTTCACTTGATACATCAAAGCTAAATGTGTATGTAGCATTTCTGAGACGCACAATATGATTCTTCCAGGAACGCTACGATACTAGTATAATAATCAAAAAGAACCTCACATTCAGAAATGGTCGATGGTCTTCTGAACCTCACATTCTGATTATAATGTAACCTCAATGTGAGTCCAATTCCAACGTGAAATCTGGAATCACATTCAGCTAAATTTGAGTCCCATTCGGCATCTAAATATGAAGTGAAAAATGACCAAAAGGGTCCCAAAGAGAGGATCTGGACATGTCGATGTGATTCACAAATCGAATCACGGGTGTGATCTCAATCATGAATGCGAAGTGTACTGACATCTCTGAGATCAATTTGTGTTCACTGGGTCATTGCGTATTGTGAGATTCATTTGGCATCATGATGTGAATCATAATATGACCTAAAGTGTCCGGAATAGGAGTCATCGTGATTTCAGTGGGACTCTCATTTCGAGTCATCGATGTGATGTGTGGCGTGAAGGTATGCCTTCTTATATCTTCTGGGATCAATCTGTGTTAACTGGTCTGATATGTCTTATCGATAATCCAGCACTGGATTAAATTGACACGGCATGTCTTCCATGCACTATCCTTACGAATTTCAGAGGAGTACCTATATTGACCTCTTTTTCACCTTAGACTTGATTGCACTATGGGATACCTTCTATATAATTCTATAAATGAACCCATATTACAATATGACTTGGCACATAAGTTGAATATGTTGATTTCTCGCAGGATTCTACGGAAACGCCGTGGTGCTACCCAAAGGTGATTGCAAGCCTTGCACGTGCTACCCAATTGGTACTGAGGAAGAACCCTCAGGCGAACCGACTTGTGATCAGAGCACAGGCACGTGCAACTGCAAACAGCACGTGGTCGGCAACAACTGCGACCGCTGCGAAGATGGTTTCTACAACTTGCTGAGCGGCCAAGGATGCCAGTCTTGCAACTGCGACCCCATCGGTTCCTTCAATCAAACCTGCGACCTTCTCAATGGTCAGTGCTACTGTAGACCTGGAGTCACAGGGTAAGGAAGCTCAACAATATGAAGTAGTTTCATTATTCCAGATTTTTTGGGATTTTCTCTCCTCGTTTCTATAAAATGAGAATATGAATATTATTACAATATACGTGTAGTAAGGACAAATCAGGTGATTTGCCCCAAAATGTCACTGCGTTTAAAGAATTTTCCTATCAGAGAGCCTAAAAGAAAAATTTACTAGCTTGTCAATGACAATTCGAATTGAAAAAGGTTTGGAGAAGAGAAATTAATGTTTATAGAAAAAATATGAAATTTTCAATCAGCTTTGGACGTTTCGGGACCGGATCTGCTCCCGTTTTCAACTCAAAAAATGTTTATTTGAATAGCAAATTCGTACCTGTCTTGAAATGTTCAGTTCTGTGTGACAATTGGTGACGTTGGCAATTAAATGAGTTACAGGATGTTTCCAATAATCAATCTTGAATTAACCATTTTCATTTTCAGATTTCAGTCTATATCAACTGAACAAGAAGCAATGCTATTGTCTCCGCTCAGAAGAATGCAAGCAGATTCCTTGATTTTTCTCTCCTGGTTGTTATCTTCTTTTCCAATGATTTTAATATTATTCCACTCTGCTATATGTTGTCCGTCTTCAGTAATGATATGTTCAGCTAGTTTCGATTTATCGATGTGTCTTTTCTTTTTCGTCCTTACAGGAAGAGGTCTTTTGGTTTTGCTGTATGAAACTTTCCACAAACGCAAGGCATACTGTGGATACAATTTTTTGACGATTGTTCTTCATTTCTCGGCTTTGCTCGAGTTGGAATTGATCTCATGGAATTTTCAGTTTTGAACACAGTTTTCACTTGAAATTCATCACCAACACGATCTATTTTTCCAGATATGCCGGGAATGTATGGTATTATATTTGTCGTTATTGATGGTTGATTTTGTTGTGGTTGACCCTGTTTGTTTTCAATTCGATGAATCGTCCTACCGACAAAATTCTTTGGATAGTAATTGAGTTGGAGAACATTTCAAATGTGGTGGACTTCGTTATTGAAAATTTGTTGATCAGATGATATTAGAGTCAACTCAAAATTCTTCAAACGCAGTGACATTTTGGGGTAAATCATCTGATTTGTCCTTACTACACGTATATTTAAATAATGTTCATATCGTTATTTTATAGGAACGAGGAGAGAAAATCCCAAAATATCAGGAATGATGAATGTACTATACCTCCTCGATTAACCTACAGATAGTATTTGAAATGAAGTAGATTATCTAAATATAGAGTTCTCATACTTGAGTCGGCACTATTGCTAACTTCATTGCGCTATTGGAGTCATCTGAATGGGGCACTAGTAATATTTTTTCTGGTGATCACGATGATGAGGCATGTATAACCATTGCACAGTAAAAAACCGCTTCGAGTGAAATCCGTAGAGTATGTTTTTAGAGTTAAAATACTCTGACAAACTCACTCTAATACTGCAATCAACTCTATTAATACACTTCTCGCAGATTATCTCCTTTGAAACTAATTCTAGATTGAATTTTCACTATTCTCGTATTGAATTCACTCTATATTCCTGAAATTTCAATAAAATATCAATTCAGATAACTCAATTCACAAACAATTGAAATTGAATTCATACTAGTGTTTACTGACACTAGTGAACTTGAATATTCCTCTCTTGTCGATTAAATTGACACTCTATCATTGTTCAATGCAATCTATATACGATGAAATATCAATCTATACAGTTTCAGATTGTTCAATCTACTATATAGATAGTGAAATAAGTAATACAGATTATAGTGTCGATGATATAATGATCATGATATTAGCTTCAAGTAGTTTTTATACTATACCCGCGTAGTGAGGAATTTTTTTCAACATTCAGTTATGAACGTTTTTCCGTATACCTATCTCGGTTATTTTCCGTTTTTTCCGTTTCGAATTATTATTTCGAGCGATTTATGAAACAGATATAGGTTAACTAATTAGTCTAGTGGGACTCGAGTAATTTTTCAAATATCAAACGATTAAAATATTATGAAGTCACACTACTTCTCATCCGTCAATTCTCGCCACTGCATGAAGGTGGCGCTGCGGAGACTTCGCCGCTGAACGTCTGTCGGGGGCCTATAAATAATGTGACATGTGAAAGAATGGTTAATCTAACTTGGATGAAATCTCAACAGGAAGTAGTGACTAGTTTACTCAACTAGTGTTCTATATCAATCTAAAATGATGAATAAATGATATAACTCCTTATTAGCACCTGAACAAATACTAGTGTCAATTTGAACAATGCAGGAGCAATTTGACATCCACGTAGAGTAAATAATTCAATCAATTTCTGGTGGATCCGACACTGTTTATAGTGTGGAATCTACTCTCTACTATTATATTACAACTCTAAACTTTTGTGACTATGTATAATATTCGGTTATTGAATTTCACTCTAAAGTGATGATATTGACACTAGCTTGGGTCTTGAGTGGAATATTCACTCTCGAAATTGTTTCTTTCAACTCTATTTTTGTGTTAATTCAATATATTTAGAGAAATAAAAAGAGTAAGTTTCAATGTGCTTGCATTGAAAATTTACACTAATTGAATTGAAAAAATCACACTATAATATACTAAACTGTAGAGTTGAAGCGTCACTCTAAAGCTTAGTGGTCCTCCTGGGAACAGGTATAGTGTTAAATTTCACTCTATTTTTTTTACTGTGTGTGTTTCATCGAACGGCACCTGTGCCAATCACTATTATTCGCACAAAATTCAAGATGAAAATTATGTCATCTTATACCAAGTGATTGGCAAATCTCAAGACCCTACCTGTGCCATACCTAAAGTGAGTCAAATCACACAACGAATTTGTTGCTGTCCCCCATTCTGAACGAATTTGTTGCTGACCGTCAATCTGAACGAATTTTGTGCAAATTACCGAATGGAAAAATGCAATGATTAAATCATTTTGCTCCTGATAGTGATTGGCGTATGTGCGGTTCGATAAAATACAATAATGTTTTTTTTCTACAAGCGTGCGTGATTCACCCTATACCCGCACGCAATTTAGTTTGGGAAGTGTCATTTTCCCCCAGAGTGCGGGAAGAGTTTTCCCACCAGTGCGGCAAATTTTTCAGTGGAATTGCGATGAAAAACTTCCAGCTACAGATGCGATACAGACGAGTTAATTATTGCCAACGAAGTCTTAAGAATGGTATCAGAAGCACTACACGTGATTTATTGAATGTCGCAATAGTAAAAAAGTGAAAACACCAAATCAAGAAGAATTATTTTTGGCTCATTTCCTAGATATGTCTGAAACCTAGAGGCCAAACACCTTGGGCATGATGGCTTCCGCAATAAGCTTACCTACATAATGCTTCAAACGGTACACACAAAAGATATATCCCAGATAACACACATACATCCATTGGATGTCCATTTTGAATCCATTAGGTAGCCGGATGTCCATGGATGTCCAATGGACATCCATTGTGTATATGTACAATGGACATAGAGATTTGTACATACAATGGACATCCATTTTGTAGTTGTACAATGGACAACGAAATTTTTACAGCCAATGGATATCCATCATACTTATCCAATGGAAATCGTTTCCCAAAGTATGTATGTGTCATTTATGACTCTTCTATTTCAATTGAAATATTTTTACCAATAATATATAATATATTATATATGAACATTAATCACGGACAACTTCGCACTCGGTACTATTTTTCAAGATTTTATACGTCTCATCATTTTTGTAGGTTACGTACCTATATAGAGGTAGGTACTTATTTTGAAGTTGATTTTCATCCAATTTCAATTTTAAACCATTTAGGCCGTGCAAATAAGATCGATATGGGCAAATATTATACGGCGGGTTTCTTTCGAAAAAGATGAATCACCCTGTAACACTTTTGATAAGGGCCGTGTAAAAGCTTTATTGCGGCACTAAACTTCAGTAAATTGCATTTTCTTTCGATGTGAAATACCGTGAATACGAAATACTTGCTATAATATTTATAACAGCTCAGTGGTCCAGAGGTTTGCGTTGTGATCCACGAGAGCGGGGTCCGGAGTTCGATCCCCTCAAAGGACACTTTTTTTTTAATTTCTACGTTCTGGCTGGACAAAATTTGGATATCCAATGGAAATCCAATGTATTCCTGATGAGTATCCAATAAACTTATCATTGGAATGGACATAAGTTGGATTTTTGGTAGACATCCATTAGAGTTCTGATGTGTATACAATGGTATTTCAAATGTAATGGACATACAATGGATCTTCATTGGGAATCCATTGGATGTCTGATGAGTATCCAATAGACTTCCAATGGAAAGGACAAATATTGGATGTCCAATGGAAATCCATCAGATGTCTAATGGAAAGCCAATGGACTTCCAATGTATGTCCAAACTGTTGGACATGTATTATCCAATGGATGTCCATTGGACAAATACTGGACAATGCCGTCCATCCAATGGATGTCCAGGGTATCCATAGCTGGACATCCATTGGTTGTCCAATGGATTCACTTGTGTTGTCTGGGTATAATTATTAGAATATAGAGAATCTATCACTATTGTTGGTTTTTTTCTATTTTCAGGAATAGTTGATCGAACAAATCTATCAATTTCCTACGCTTGTAGAAAAAATATTATTCCTAACTCATGCGGAAAGTGTCTTTCCCGCACTCGACTGCTTGCCCGAACTCCGCTTGGCGTCGTTCGGGTCAACGGCATCCGCGTGCGGGAATGAATCACTTACCGCACTTTTAAGGAAATAGCTATTTGTGTATTTAGAGCGCAAAGTGATAGATTGCCGCTCTTTGGCGAGCGGCAATAACACTTTGTGCTCGAAATACACACAAGATTTTTTCTACTAACGCAGCTTTTTGGAAATAACTACCCTAAAAGTATGAGCGATTGAAATAGTTGATAAAGTTCTTATCCATATTATCCCATATCTCCAAAGGAAACAAGAAGAGAAAAATTGAAATAACTGACAAGCCAGAAAAAAATGTCGGGCCTACCAAGAATTGAAACTGGACCACCAGCGTGGCAACGTGAGCTTCAGACCTCTGAGCCATAGTACGATAAACTCTGCAATCAAATTGAACATTACTCATTGATGCAATAAAATTAAGATACACTGTCTTTCTGATGACAACAAAGAGTTTAAATATAAAGTATAATTAATTCATCGTTTTCAACAGATATGCTTCATCGGAAGCTTCTTGTAGACATTTGTTGGTATATATCTTCAGCGGTGAATGTTTTGGATTTTTCTCGCTTTATATCCAATAGATTGTTTCTTGAGAAATGCGATAAGTTTCAGAAACTTATTGATTTCGATATTATTTTTAGCATTCAAGCATGTATACGTACCATCGAATATATAGACCAATGAGTTGATGACTTCAAAGTCTTTGATTTTTTACCAAAATAAGCCAGTAAAACGTTTTCTGAATACATATTCATCATCTCGGGGTGGCACCAATTTATGAATATATCATTTCTTCCTTGATTTCTCCGGTAAGAGCTTCAAACTCTTGCGCTTTCTGCTATATCAGGAGGTGTGTTTGATTATTCACTGTCACTATTTTCCATCATGACAGAATTGGGGGTTTTCAAGAATAGATAACTATAGGTTACAGAGATGTGCGAGCGTTTTTTCAATATTTCCGCTCTCGAGCGCAAATGCTGTCAAAGAATTACATTTATGAGAAAACGTCAACTTTGTGCTGGAATTTGAAAGCGTCAATGGCTACTTTGTTAAGCGTTTGTAGAAAAATTACTATATCAATCTTCCGGGACATAATGTAATGACGTTATCACATGACGGTCAAAATTTGCAGCCGGCTCTCTCCTATACTATAATAGATATTTACGTTACTAGTCCGGTAAGTACACTTTTACAGTACGAGTGAGATGTTTACGGACGAGGCGCAAGCCGAGTCCGGAATTTCGAAACGAGTACTGTAAAACTTTACCGGACGTGTGACGTATAACATTTTATTTCATACTGCTAAAAGACAAAAATGAACAGTGAAAAATAAAATAATAAACTATTTATCTGCGTCCAGTAATTTCAGAATTTTGCATTCACTCCCAAGATAGCTGGCAGGTAGTTTCCTTAGAAACATAATTTTTGTTCGAGGGGAAAAACAGGGTATCTCGCATGATTCAACATGGAGAAAACTTTGTTGAAGTGCTACAACAAAAAAATGGGAATGTATCAGCAAGTAGCAACTCCCTAATAAATAATTCATCCAATGGAGCTCCTGGTATCCATATTCATGGGAACGAAAATTTAACGGTCAATATCAATATTAGCAATAAGTAATTTCTGTGTATTGTTTTGCTGTTGAATTTTTAATAAATGTATTCATGCTTTTGACGCATAACTGAGTTTTCAATATTTACAATCCGGTAAAATTTCATTACGGGATAGTAGCACGTAATGAAATATTACGTGCGCCTATCCTGTGAAAGTCTATTTTCCGGATTGAAATCAAGTACGTAAAGGTATGTTCTATGATGCAGTATATGAAATAAAAACTTTTATCCTAAATAAATGACTAATAACAACTAGGAAACTTTGTGAAATGACTAATAGTTTGTTCAGTCGTCAAGATAAAAATGTCATACTTTATGATAAGGCACGTTTACGACAAGTAATACATTACTCGTGATCGCTATTGTCGATTTTTGTTTCGTTTTCATCATCGTGATCAGCGAAAAAGTACTACTAGTTTGCCCATTCACTAGACTTTGTTGCTCCAAGTTTGAAATTATTGTGTACTCAATACTCATGACCATTTATTTTCAGGCTGAGGTGTGATCACTGCGAGGCAAGAAAATACGGATTTTCCATCGATGGTTGCAAGGACTGCGACTGCGACGCAATCGGTTCCAGAGACCTACAGTGTGATCCTACAGGCCAGTGCCCCTGTCTCGAAAATGTCGAAGGTCGTAAGTGCAATAGGTGCAAAGAAAACAAATATGACAGGCAGAGAGGTTGTGTTGACTGTCCCGACTGTTACAATTTGGTTCAAGACGCATACAGAGGTCACAGCAATAAATTGGACAGATTAGGAGATATTCTCGATGAGATAGAGAGACGGCCCACTGTAATTGCTGACGACGAATTCCCAAAAGAACTAGAGAAACTCAAGAGAAATATCAGTGATTTCCACGAAATAGTGAAAAATGCAACCGGTGATACTAGTGTATTCCAAAAGGTACATGATATCCGCGAGAGAGAAAAGGATATCACCAGAACCCTATCAGAAATAGATGAGAATATTTATTTGATTGGGGACAAGAGTCATGTTACCGAAATGAATCTTGACCATATTGATGCGAATTTGGAAGAAGCGGAGGTAAGGCTTGCTGATACAGTCGTAGCTTTCGATACACAGGCAAAGGAAGCTCTAGAAAACGCTATGGAAAGTTCCCAAAAAGCCGGACAACAATCCGAAAAAATGACTAAGATCGCGCAAGAATCCAGAGAATTGGCTGACGAATTGGAAGAAAGAGCTGATGTCATTGAAAGTAAAGCTCTGGATGCTAAAAATAAATCAATAGAAGCTTACCAAATCGCCAAGAATGCAAGTCTGGGACAGAGTGAAGTAGAAGAGAGAGCGAGAAAAATGCGACATGAGGTAACTGACGCCGAAAATAAATTGAACAGAACCAGCACTTGGATAAAAGAAGTTGCTAACATGTCTGCAACATCCAAAGCCGATGCTCTGAATTTGCTCAACGCAGTCAAAAATTTGCAAATTCCGCAAATTGACATTCCCGAACTGAAGACAAGATCAGAATCCCTACGTGACGAAGCTTATAGGCTCGGAAATGAAACTATAGCATTATACAAGGACAGTGAGAACTTGAGAAAAGCAGTGGAAGAAAAAAATAGCGTTGGAAAGGTTCTGCTAGAAAAAGCATATGATCAGCAATACGAGACTGATGAACTGCTGAATGAAATTCACGCTACTAAAGAAACAACCGATAACTCCATCAATCGATGGAATAAGATATTGAATGAAACTGAAAGCATATACAAGGATTTGAAAGGTAAGATTGACAATTCACTGTAGTTTAAGAAATTGTAACTTGGTTTTCAGATTTCGACACGGAAACACAAAAAAGCAAGGACGAAGCGAACGAAGCGCTCAAAACAATCAGTGATATCGAAAACATTCTGATGAATACATTAGGGAAGATAAACACAGCGCAGCAATCGCTGAGGGAAGCCACAAATAACGCCGCATCTGCTTTAGAAAAAGCTTTGCAAGCTGATGATTTGGCGAAAAATGCGTCCAGTACCGCTGGAGGAGCTAAAGAAGAAGCAGGAGTTTTGCTGAGGAACGCAACTCTTCTGAACGAGAACGCTGAACTGCTGAAGGAAAGAGTCCAAGATAGCGAGGACAAGCTTCAAACATTTTATTCTTACACCAGAACGAATGAGTCTCTTATCAACGAGGCAAAGGAAAAGGTAATATGTTTGAAATAGTCATTGATTATGAGAACAACTTTAGGAATCGATGGAGAACAATTTAAAATTATCTTGGAATGCACATGCATTCTCATAAAAAGTAGATAAAAGTATTTCTGGAATGTTCCACTAAAGCACTACTGATGAGTTTCAACACAAACAATTCTCGGTGGTTTTCATTGTTCGAAAATTGATCAGTTGATAACATAATTATTGATTCACTATTCGAAGGAATAGAGTTTCGATATTTCTAATATTTTTTTAACTAGGGTTCGGAAGAGTCCACCTTCCCGCACTCATTATAGTGTTGAAAGAGTCCGCACTGGGGCGAAAAAAATATGCGAAAATAGTTATTTATGTACCAAGGACGAAACACAGTCTATTATAGTCCAGTCTGCAAACTGCGATAGCCGAAGCTAGCAATCAGGCGAGACAATAATAGACAGTTTGTCGCCAAGGTGCATATTACATTATTTTGTCGACCCCACATCACGGTCCTATTCACATGTGACAGTTGATGTCAACTCACTCTTCTCATTCCATCAGTAAATACCTTGTCAAAAATGTAGTAGATGCTATACGAATATCAAGAAAGAATAATGAAATGAACCTATGACGTCGAAACGTTATGTACTTTGAGTAAACAGGAAGGTAACCTATTTTCAACAAAATTGAAACAAACAAAACAAACACTCTCATACAAAATTATAATCATATATTCCTGATTCTCAATTCAAAAATACTCACAAATATCACTGTAATAGGATGGTCCCTTAGTATATCCTATTGTCTTGGAATAAGAAGTCTGGACGTAGTTTTAACTTATGTTATTTATTATAATCGATATCAACTTGATTATTACATCTCCGAACATCGAATGTCTAACCATCTAACTAATAAAACTAGAACACATCGAAATCAGGTCAAATGCTGACTACGTGATATCCAGAGATCTAAACACACTCTCGATACCTAATTAAACAATATCATCCTTAACCTACTTAATTTTCTAACATAACATTTGAATATTTATCATAACTATTTTCTATCTATCTTATACACTACACCTTCCCCGGGAAATGAAAAAAATATAAACATTAACTAATTTTAATATTTTTTCCCTAAAATGTTATAAACCTAACTAATTGAAGAATTTCCTAGTTGAGATATGGTTTTAATCTATTTTTGTGTACCTCAATTAACTTATCCTCTATTCTTATTGGGTGTTTTCTCCTCTAAAACCTCGTATGGTCCTTTGAATAGAGGCTCTAACTTATTAGATGGATTATTATTTTTTAACAATACCTTATCTCCTATTTTATAATGAATTGATTTGCTATTTACATCCCAAGCTTCTTTCCTCTTAGTTTTGGATTTTAACAAATTATTTGTGGCATCTTCCCATGCTTTTTGTAACCTATACTTGATTTGTACCGGATAATCCTCAAAGTTATATACAGGGTCTACCCTGTTGACTACATTTGATGGGAGTTGGCAACTTTTCCCAAAAACAAGTTCATATGGAGTGTAACGTGTTTCTGTATGAACCGTGTTATTGTATGAAAAGCACCAATAGGGCACCCACGAACTCCAACTGTCAGGATGCTTTGCCATCTGAATTCGCAAATAAGCACCCAAATTTTTATGAGTATTCTCAAGTGCTCCCAAAGACTCATGATGATAAGCTGTAGATTTCAGTGATGTTATACCTAACAACTTACAAGTTTCCTGAAATGTTGAAGCTAAAAACTCAGTACCTTGGTCGGTACCTATCGCTTTAGGTATACCAAACCTCAAGATAAAATTTTCTACAAAAGCTTTTGCTACCGTAACCGCTTCTTTGTTAGGTATGGGATAGCCTTCAACAAACTTAGAGAGTTCGCATTGTAGGGTGAGAATATATCGATTATTGCTTTCGTCAGGATTAAGAGGCCCTACAAGATCAAGATATATCTTTTGCAAAGCTGTTTCTGCGGTAGTGGTAATTGTCAATGGTTCCTTATTAGGTCTGGAATGTTTATACCTTTGACAATCATCACATCGCTTCACGAACCTTTCAATTTCTATTTTCAAACCTGGCCAAAAATAATATTTCTTTATATTGTTATACATTCTATTGATTCCCGTATGTCCTCCTGTGGGTAACATATGGAAATCATTCATAATCAATTGTCTGGTTTCTTTATCATCAATTATTTGGACGTCCTTTATTATGGAAATTTTTATACCGGTATTTTTCAATTCACTTTTCATTTTCATTATACTTTCAATTAATAACTTGGCATTCTCCTTATTAACAATACAAAATTCTAGGATTCTTTGTTGTGCACATAACTTTTTCAGCTCCCTCAGTGACGCACCGAATGCTGACACTGATCGGGAAGACTGTTTCAAATATATAATCCCTGCATTTAAATCGTATTTCAAATTATCGTAAACACTTTCATCAGTCCCTTCCTTTCTAACGATTTTGGCAAAATTTTTATCTGCAATAGGTCTTAATTCAATAGATTCTACAGGGCGTTTCAGTAATTCTACCACTCCAGGGTGATCAATCCTGCTATGTGTAGAAATCACTTCATCCCTATCACGATTAAAATCTATTTTCTTTGTTTGAGCTCGCGTCATAACAAACATATTATCAGAAACTTTTTCACTCATTACTTTAAGTTCGTCTGAATCAATCTGAATCCTAGAAAGAGCATCAGCGATAACATTTTCAGAACCCTTTATGTAAGTTACTGTGAAATCATACTCTTCTAATACTAATCTGAATTTAGTCAGGCGACTCGATGGATTGGTCATGCCGAATAAATATACTAACGGTCTATGGTCTGTGAATATATCAAATTTTCGACAATACAGATACGGCCTAAAATGTTTGACTGCAAATACAATTGCCAGTAACTCTTTTTCGATTGTACAATAATTCTTTTCGGCCTTATTTAACGAACGACTTGCGTATGCTACTGGTTGGTCGTTAGAATTTGATAAAACAGCTCCGACCGCAAATCCGGAAGCATCAGTTCTTAGTATAAATCTAGTATTTTCTGCAAAATCTGGGTATTGTAATAATGGTGGATTGGCAAGGGCCGATTTTAGATTATCAAATGAGGTTTGACATTCTTCTGTCCACTTGAATTCAGAATTTTTGTGAGTCAATTTATTCAAAGGATAGACAATATGAGCAAAATTTTTGATGAATTTTCGGTAATAATTAGCAAATGCCACAAAACGTTTCGTTTCACTAGAATCTGTAGGAATTGGATATTTTCGGATTGCTTCAATCTTCTCAGGATCGGGTGATATACCATCTGAAGAAATTACATGCCCCAAGTACAAGATTTCTTTCCTGAGAAATTCGCATTTAACAGGGTTGAGCTTCAGGTTTACCGCTCTCAACCGTTCCAAAACTTTGACGAGATTGTTGTTATGATTCACTAAATTATTACCAAAACATATCAAGTCATCCAAATAAATAAAACATGATTCATAATTTAGACCTGCCATTGCTATCGTCATCACTTTAGAAAAGACACTCGGGCTCACTTTTAGGCCCATCGGGAGTCTTTTCATCTGATATTGGCCACGATCCGTGGTAAACGCTGTATATGGTCTGCTACTAGGGTCCAAACCCACTTGATAGTACCCTTGCGCTAAATCTAAATGTGAAAAATAGACAGCTCCTGATAACGAATCCAGAATTTCGGTTATACAGGGCAGTGGAAATTTATCGTCTTCTATTCTTCGATTTAGAAGCCTATAATCAATTACTACTCTCCACTTCTTTTTGCCGTCCCTACTCATCTTTTTAGGAACTATTAGCAAAGGCGATGACCATTCTGATTTGGCCTCCTCAATAATTCCATCATGTAGCATTTTTTCTACTTGTTCATGGATTTCTGTTTTTTGAGCATGAGGTAATCTATAAGGCTTTACATATACCGGTTTTGCGTTATCCTGTAACTGAATTTTATGTGAACAAACATTAGTCACTGAAAGGTAATCATTTTCCAGATAGAAAACATCAGCATATTTCGCACAAATTTTTTCTATCGACACTTTTTCTACCCTATTTAATGACTCTGTATCAATGAGATCTAACAATCTATCCACTCGTCCAATAGAGATCTCATCAGTACCGAAATTACAAAACTCAAAGTCCGAAAGTTTTTCACTCTTAGGTTTAAAATTTCGAAGCTTAACTTCTTTATCCTGGACATTAAGAATTCGTACTGGAATCATATTATTGTTTGGTCTCGCAATTACACTCGCAGTATATACGCCCTCAGTCAACTGCTCACTCAGAACAACACAATCATCATTACTATCAATCCAATAATATTTTACAATTTCACATCTGGGAGGAATGACCGTGTAGCAATCATACTTTGACTGCAATGGAATTGTAACCTTCTTGTTATAATTCATAAATGAAAAACAAAATTTCTCGAAATCGATGGTTGCTGAATATTTAGTTAAAAAATCAGCACCCAAAACTCCATGCATATCATTCGTAAATTCATTCATAACCAAAAATTCATGCACCACATTCACATCATCTGTTTTCAATGAAATATTTACTGAACCCAATGAAAATGTCGAACCAGCAATTCCGTTTATTCTGATTTTCTTTGAACTATCTATGACTTCACTCTTTTCTACATACTTTGCAAAAATCACGCTAATAGTCGCTCCTGTATCAATTAAAAATTTTAGACTATAACTTCCATACCTCATACAAACGAAATTCATCCCATTCATACTTAATACCACATTATCTCTTATATTTTGGTCATTATCGGGGGTCACGAAAAAACCGTTCGTCTAAAAAGGAATGATTTGCCTCATTTTCGCCATTATTAGAATTTGACTCTTCCGCAAAATAAGCCCGGTGTGCTCGGTTTCTACTATTATTGTTATTGTAGGTACCTCGACCTCTAATACCTCCGCGACCTCGACATCGGAAACTATTATTATTATTCCGCTGAGTATTTGAA